ATTAGTTATTTGAAGCTATAGAAATGTGTTACAAGTCATGATTGAAAGCTGAGCCCTGGTCACGATTGAATCGGCCAGGCATATGGGCAGGACTTCCATACCTTGGCACCAACCCCAATCACTATTGGGCAGACTCTGGCTCCGAATTGAGTCACCAACAGAAGATGTCAACTGCTGTATCCAGGATATTTTGATTTTTTGGGGGATTTTTTGGTCAATATACTGTTTCCAAATAGCCTGAACTGTCACACTCGAAATGGAAAAACAGACAACCAATGATGATGGCAATAAGAGGTAGAAAAAAACCTGTGTGTCGGGATCATTTATTGGCCTTGTTCACATGCAGTCAATGGTTTATTACAAAAGAGGCAGACACCAATTCAGTGCAATAAAAATGAATAGAAAAGCAGAGGGAACCTGTCATCATAGCTACAGTCCACACAGGGAAATGGAAATGAAATCCATTATTTCTCACAACACAATGAATCATTCTCACATTGTTTCTATTTTGTAGCGATACATAAGCCTGCACACACACACACACACACACACACACACACACACACGTATACGTATACAGTATATATATATATTTATACAGAACATACATACAAGAAGATGCTGCAGTAGCTGTGGAATAATTAAAGAGGGATCAATGCAATTTTCTTCCTTCCTGCTGTCAGCCATTACTGGCCTAATAAAGACACAGAGAAAATTAACATAATGAACTAGGCTCCAGGCTTTGTACACACACACACACACACACACACACACACACACACACACACACACACACACACACACACACACACACACACCACATCTGTGGAAATCAAATGGGGAAAATAACCACCTCCAACACATACATCGAAAACACCACACACACCCTTAGTGCATTACAGAGTGTGTCATGCTTAGCCAACAGTTTTCAGAATGATCTCTACTGTACTCATGGGATCAAGCGCTAAGCATTAATACACACACAGACACAATCATCCACAGCTAACAGCTTGAGTGTGTGGGCGCGTTGTGTGTTTGCCGTTATCCCAAGGGCACCATAGTGAGTACTTGCACAAGTTTGTATGTCTAAACTGTCAATATACAACTAGCTGTTTTATGCAAAGTAAGCACACACATGCACGCACACACACACTGAAAGTGCAGAGCCAGAGTTTATGATTTCAGTCATTCTGACTCCAGCCTACACAAGGGTAAAACATTCATTATATGTCTTGGCTTCTCTCTTTCTTTCTTTCTCTTACTCTCTCTCTCTCTCTCTCTCTCTCTCTCTCTCTCTCTCTCACTCACACACACACACACACACACACACACACACACACACACACACACACACACACACAGTAATGAATATGATCTCAGAGGGAGATGCGAGCAGTTCCCCCATGCTGCGTGTGGGGAGTCAGGCTGAGGTTCAATCTCATTACTGTGTCTACTCTGTGCAGTACACAACAGTCTGCACTGCCAAACACACCACAAGTAAGTGTGTGTGTGAGTTTAGTGCTCATTCTCGCTCTCTGATTTCTAACTATCTGGCTTCCTTAACCTCTCATGCTACAGCAATTATTCTACCATGGAGGTTATCTGTGCTCATTTAAAAATCTTAAAAAATGTTTCTTAAAAGGTATAATCTGTAACATTTCCACATTAAAATGTCTATAAACCTTAGACCTATGTTCTATATGTAGTTGAGTTGTGTACTTCTATTATTGTTTTCAGTGAAATAGCTGTAAAACTGTACACTGTACACTACCAGCTCAACAGCAAACAGCATCCTTTCAAGCATATAAATGACTTTTATCCTAATGAACATTTAGAGGTATAAAAATCCTTAGCAACAAAAACAAGGGTAACCACTCATTCTTAATAGCATCTTCATTCTAATTTTTTTATTATTATTAATGACCTAATTCAGATAAGAGGAGTGTTTAGGGACAGAAAAAGGACCTGTGGTTTCTATGAGTACCTTGTATCTTGTCGTCTCTTTTACCACATTTTTGCTTAAGATCAGATCCTATACAGAAGGGGTTTTCAAAGTCACTGTGGCCCAGATATTTGCGATTTGGAACAATTAAAAGTATGTAGAATTAGCTATTAACAGTTCCTGTTTGCAATGGTAAATGGTAAATGGACTGTACTTATATAGCGCTTTTCTAGTCTTTCGACCACTAATCCGCTGTACACTGCATGCCACACTCACCCCATTCACACACATTCATACACTGACGGCAGTGGCTGCCATGCAAGGTGCCAACTGCTCACCAGAACACTCATACACAGCATCGGGAGCAATTTGGGGTAGCGACTATGCTAGTATAAAAACTACAAAACCTAGAGCTCACCAAGCTAGAAGACAAGAATTAAAGAATCTACCAGAAGACAACATGCCAGTGATTTGCAAGACACCCATTACCATCTACCGACAATTGAGAACGCCTCCGGCTGCACCGAGGGAAAGTATAGTGTATGTGCGGCGTACACAGGCTCCTCTAGTCACGGCCCGCCGGCCGTGACCCTGGCCTCCTTCATGGTATGTGTGTGAATGTAGTTTTGTGTTCTTTTTTCTCCCTTTTGGTGTGCCTGCTGTGTGCTTGGTGTGTTTTGGTTTGGCGTCCGTCTCTGTGTTTTGCTCTCTCCCACATGCTCTGGAAGCCACTGGTGGGTGTGGTCGCTGGAGCTCCTGCCTTCACACCTGTGGCTCATCACACCACTCAGCACACCTGTTCCTCATCCAACTATCAACTCACCTTGATAAGCCAGGCCGACCTTCCAGTCCCTGCTGGATCGTTGAATCAGCTTGTAAGAGAACACGCCAGCCAACCTGAACTTGCACTCTTGTGAATTACCTGTTACTAACTTGCTTTTTTCCATGTCTCACCTCAGACCATCTCGCCCTGAGCCTGGACCCAGTTCTGCCTGCCAGCACTGCAAGACCCAGAGCACTGGAGCCCGGACCCCATCCCCACTCTCTGACTCATCTAAATCTCCAGCCACTCAAACCACGTTCTGTTTGTGCAATTTCAATAAATTCACCTTTATTGAAACTTCAACTCTGGTCTGCGTCTGAGTTCTGGTCACCGGTCCTGACACCTCTGAAGGACTCTCTGAGAGAAGAATGGTCTTTAGAACCGCATGGGTTGCCTGGATGATTGGGGTATGTGTTCAAGTATAAAACGTGCGAGCTCTGGTTGTATCAACTGGATGAGGATGAAAAATTGGATTTGCTGAAAAATGTGACTCTAACCTCCAACGACTGGGCTGTGTTGAGGTTGGTGATGTCCGACCGTCCCTCGGATGAAGATGCTGCTGCACCTGGTAAACAAGTTAGAATGGAGCCCTCCTCTGATGTACCCGGGCCCTTGGTCGTTTCCAAGGCCATCTGGCAGTCGAAAATACCAGGTTCCAGTCAATGGTTCATCTGTGCCACTCTCCGAACATCTAGGGAGAAGCCCCTTGAGGAGGACTTTGTCACTTTGGCTGCGTTTCATTAGTAGTTCCACTTCCCCTCGTTCACTTCCCCTCAGCCCTTGGTATGACGTAACAGCATACGTCGCACGGAGGCCACTTGGAGCGCGGAGGGAAAGTGGGCGGGGGAGGAGCGGGGGATTTAAATGAAACGCACTTGCCCTTGGAGTCTACTCATTGGCAGCCGTCGGTGTTATAGCGGCAATGACGTAAACTGCACTGCATTGTGGGTGATATCCAGCTCGGAGTGACCATCGTTGTTCACTCGCTCCCTCAGCCCTCTGAGGGTCCATCTCACCAAGTTCACTTCAGTTTACAGACAATTGGAACGACACTTATGATCGCGGCGGGGATACCCCCGAGGGCAAGTGCCGAGGGCAAGTGAACGAGGGCGTGTTGAACGACTAATGAAACGCAGCCTGAGTGTTTTAATTCGGACTGCGGCGTATTGTTTCAAAATGAATGAACAGAGTTTTACAGTATACGACTGCATTCCTCATGACCCCCCTATTTACAAACTGAAAGATTATAATGGAGAGCCCATACAATGTTCATTTTATGAGGCAGAGTTGCAAAAAGTAAAAATGGGGAAAAGACAGACTACGCCGTAGAGGAGATATTGAAACGACGTACTGTCGGAGGTGAAAAACAAGCTGGATCAAGGTTTCCGATTTAAAAAAATATATAAAAACCAAGGTGCACTTGAGACGGTGTATCATTCCACCATATACAGACCGAAGGATAAAGGGTTTTTCATCACCCTGCCTTCCAACGCCATCATTCAGTATCACCCGACCCGTGACCGTAATGGTAAGTTATAAGACACATTACACACCAACGTCAAAAATGGCACGGGTAGGTTTGAGAGAGGATCCTCACCGTTTATTATGAGAGTCAAGTAGGACGAACTTTACCCGGATAGGATCTCTATTATCCAAATTGTTTCGTTTTGTGGCCCCTCTGGTAAAGAAAGGTTTTGCTATCGCTAAACCTCATCTTAAGACGGCAGCCGGCAACATTGCCACAGATGTGTTCAGCCGTGCGGTGGGAAAAATGACCAGCCGCCAAGAGGGTTCAGGCGGTATTATGGGATTGTCACACAGGAAGAGGAGACGACCCCCGGGGGAATGTACCTTAGCAGTCTCTAATAAACGCTCAGGTACTAATAAGAAAACATCAGTCTTGAGAGACAGGCGGTTGACGAGGAAGTCTCTCCAGAGCTTGGATATATTCGAATGATAAATAAAATGGCTCAGTCAGTTCACAGCGGGCCTATTTTACAAAGATACAACAGGTGCTATGGAATCCATAGTCACCAATAACGGTCCTAACAGCGGGCTGAACAAGAGAGCAGGTTTCACAGCGGCGTCCACAGAGGTACACCTGCTCGGTCCTCTGCATGGGGATATATTTTTCTGCAAGATACTTTTGTTGACTTGAGAATCAAACTGACCTGTGCCAATGTAGCGGTTGAGTACTCTCTCTCTTTTGCGTTGTGTGATGAATCAGGCAAACACTTTTACATTTGGCACCAGCACGCCGTTTAATCTGATAACAACAGAAGCACATACGGTCTCTCACAGCCACTCTTCTAGTAATAAGCTCCAACATTGCACGGAGACAGCATAGTGCAGACTGGTCAAGATGCATCATATGAATAAATTGAAATGTGTACCTGATAACAACAGAAGCACATACGGTCTCTCACAGCCACTCTTCTAGTAATAAGCTCCAACATTGCTAAAACATAGAAACCATTAAATGAGCTAACTGTTAAACAAGCTATACCACGGAGATCAGAAGTTACATTTTAGCTAGCAAAACACACAACATGATGAACCTTAATGACTCAAAAACATAGTAATATGATCACAGAAAAGTTTTACAATACTTTCGAAAATTCTCTCAAACATGTTAAATGGAAAAATATTACTTTCATCAAGAAAAACGAACTTATTTTATAGTATTTTTAGCGGAGCTTATTTACACATAACTTACCACGGAGACAGCATAGTGCAGGCTGGTAACGATACACGGGCTGCACCGCTCAAGTCTACACGGGCCCCAGCAGAGGGCGCTCATGTTACACACAGTCTCAGTGGATACTCATTAGAATTAATTATAAACAATATTTAAACAACTGATATAGTAAAATAAGGACATTCTATGCCAAGTGATGGCAAGTGGGATCATTAACTCCGTTACACCAACAATGCTTTCTGCCTCACGGGTCCCACGACTCTACCTTCCGTCTGAAAATATTGGGTGCCTCTCTATTTGTTCAAAAAGTGACCGTGTCTTCAGCCGTCCGATTAGGCCATGCCGCAGCTTTAATGAAAGGCAATGCCTTTCTTTCATGTGTCAACGTGAAAACATACTCTATCCAAGAGAACTCTAGGATATGCAACCAGGAGAAACTCTTTCTGGGTGTCATGCCTGAATATATAGTTTTGGGCATAGTACACCACAAGGCTTTCACAGGAAGAAGAGACCTGTCGCCCTTCAATTTCATCCACAATAATGTAGAATATCTGGGTCTCTGTCAGGATGGCAGACAGATTCTGGTTAAGGCTCTCCAACCCCAATTTAACAACGGACAATCCGTCAGAGAGTTTTACCATATGTTTTTGTCTACCAAAAGAATCTTAAAGATTTACCCCTGAGCATCAACCATGAACAATTTAACAATGGGTATACGCTGTTTGTGTTTAATCTCACACCGGGTGACGACAATGATGCCCTTTCCCCTGTCCCGGTAATTTGAGATATGAGATTCAGAGTACCCTTGCCATCATCTACGGCTGTTACAATTCTGTTCTAGAGATCGACTCTAAAAGACACGTTCTGGTGGATTATTACTAAAAACTACTAAAAAACATGGATACTCCTCAATTAGAGAATATTTTGCATCGTTTGCTGGGAGATGTATTTTGCGGCGTGTGGGCATCCGACCAACTTCCCTTGCTGAATCCAAAAATAGACTGTAGGCTTTTGAAAATGCATTTAATAAACAGTTTATTGATGAAAGACAAAAAAATGTTTTGCATTACAATTATTTATGATGAAATGTCTATCCAATGTGGGGATAAAGTTATTTGCCTTCTCCCCTTCCGCGCCTTAGCACCAATTAATTCAGTCTCCTGATCTCCCAAGGCTCTCTCATCTTCATCCTGGGGTGTAATCCAAATGGTAAAATGGTAAATGGACCTGTACTGCGCCTTTCTAGTCTTCCGACCACTCAAAGCGCTTTTACACTACGTGCCACATTCACTCTTTCACACAGTGATGGCAAAGTCCATCGAACAGAAACTAACATTCACACACATTCACACAACGATGCACAGCATCGAGAGCAATTTGGGGTTCAGTATCTTGCTCAAGGATACTTCGACATGTGGCACCAGGAGCCGCCCACAAGAAGGTCAACATTCTTCAACATTCTTCTCACTCTCAAAGTGTCATTCCAGTTGCGGCTACTGTGGAACAGAGACGTGATTCTCTCTCCTATATCTTCCATCTTTTCTATTCAAGCGGCTAGTGGGAGGGCTATCACCGTCTGAAATACGCCGCAGTCCAAATTAAAACACTCAGTGACAAAGTCCTCCTCAAGGGGCTTCTCCCTAGATGCTCGGAGAGTGGCACGGATGAACTATTCACGGATGGAACGCAATGTTTTCGACTGCCAGATGGCCTTGGAAACAACCCCGGGCCCGGGTACATCAGAGGAGGGCTCCGTTCTCACTTGTTTACCAGGTGCAGCAGCATCTTCATCAGAGGGACTGTCAGACATCTCCAGCCTCGACACAGCCCAGTCGTTGGAGGTCAGTGTCACTACATTTTTCAGCAAATCCAATGTTTCGTCCTCACCCAGTTGATACAACCAGAGCTTGCACATTTCATACTTGAATACATACCCCCAGCATCCAGGCAACCCATGCGGTTCTAAAGACCATTCTTCTCTCAGAGAGTCCTTCAGAGGAGCCTGTGTACGCTGCACATACGCCATACTTTTCTTCGGTGCAGCTGGAGGCGTTCTCAATTGTCGGTAGATGGTGACAGGTGTCTCACAAATCACTGGCAGGTTGTCTTCTGGTAGATTCTTTAATTCTTCTTCACAATCGTAAAACTTGTACTCTTGTAGCATGGTGAGCTCTTGGTTTTGCAGTTTTTATACTCTTTTATACTCTCTAGTGTAGTCGCTACCCTATTGTGTGTGTGTGTGTGTATGTGTGTGTGTGTGTGTGTGTGTGTGTGTGTGTGTGGGGAAGGTGACCCCTTTTCTGCCATGGTTAAGTCTTTTTGAAGACCCACTGGTTCAAGATTGGCTGACAGACTGTCTGGAGAGGGTGCACCTAAGACCAAATATTTCTCCATATTTTTCTCAGACGACTACCTCTCGGACAACAGCTTTCCCATAATTATCCCATATGACACGTTTCTATGCTGTGGTCTGCTGGAGAGGGGGCAGTACGGACAGGGACAGGAAGAGACTCAATAAACTTATCAGGAAAGCAAGCTCTGTCCTGGACTGTCCTCTGGACTCCATAGAGGAAGTGGGTGAGAAGAAGATGTTAGTTAAGCTGACATCCATCATGGACGACACCTCTCACCCCCTACATGACCCTGTGGGGTCCCTGAGTAGCTCCTTCAGCAGCAGACTGTTACACCCATGGTGTAAGAAGGAGAGGTTCCGCAGGTTTTTCTTTTTCTATGGCAGATTCATCCAAGAGGAGTTTCTCCCCTTGATGCACTTTGGCTTCTTTTCATGTTTAATAAACAGACTGGAAAATATCCTGACAACAACAAATGTTTGAATTGCAATTAAGATGTGATAACCGCAGCACACACAAAGTTACTATGGCAATTTTATTACACAGTATTTCTGCTGGTCTATGGGGAAATCATTTAGTCACATTTACTCACCAATCACTTAGTTGGTATGGTACTTTGCTCCGATTATGAAAAATAATTAAGGATGGTGCATATTTAAAGATCATTTAAATAGAACAGCATAAACAGGGATTTATATTCTGTTTTTCAATTAATTCTTATTGCGAGAAACATCTGTTGGGCCAAATCAAACATTATGGCAGTCCACAATTTCGGTTTAAGTTTTGCATTTCCTGTAATATTTTTGTTTCAATTTCATTATGCACATAGTTCATTCATACATTAGTTAGGAGCTAAAATCTGATGGTAAGATAGTCAGCGCAGGTCAAATGAATGGTTCAGAAACACTGCAATCGTGGCTCCAAACGGGAACTAAAGTGTAGACCACCACATTAGCTCTGGTTCTTGAACCAGTTCCATTCAGGATTCAGCAACAGTCAACAATAAATAATCTTTAGATTAGGAATAACGCTGCCTCCTGTGTGAACTGTCTGGAGCTGAAAAGGGCCGGCCTACGCTGCTATATTATAACATCGGCCATAATGGTGGTACTTTGAGAGCCTGATATTTTCTCAGGTGGTACATACTATAAAAAGTTTGAAAAACACTTTAGAGAAACCTTAAGGAGAACATGCAGTAAGGGGAATAAAAGAATACAACATGGAGAGAAAAGATTGTGACTCATGTTTCTTTATATGTACAGTTGACATTTATAGAGCTAATACAAAACCACTGTGGTACAGATCATTTATAAAAAGTAAACCGTAACAACAACAACAACAACAACATAAATAGTTCAGAATCCTGATCAGTAAAAATATCTTGGTCCCCTTCCAGCGTCAGAGTTGAGGCCGAGGCAGAGAGTGAGTATGGATGGTGGTGGAAGATAAATGAATGTTTTATTGCTTTAACAACTGCATGTATCCACTGCTAGACTGGAGCTCTTTCAGAGGCAGGAGATTTAGCCCAGCCAAGCTTTGTACAAATAAATTAACTCTTTAGTCAACCAGACACCCAGTGTGTCCACAACTCCCCCGTGCTGTTGAATACGCTCTTTTGAGCCTACAGGAATTTTACTGGCCGGGGTGTGTCAATATTCCATGATGTTTTAAATGCTGCTCTGGAGGCATTTCCACCCTGACTGAATACAGTGCTGAGGGAATTGCTGGACATAAAAGCTTGGGATTTGTGGGATTTTTTTCAGGAAAATTACAATATTTAAAAATACTGATCAGCAGCATAAACAATGCACTAAAATCACCAAACTGAGGACAGAACAACAACAAAACATTGAATGTATTCCTAGCCTTTGCTGTTTGCTTTGGTTCCACGCTGTGCGTCGGTAGTTCTGTACTGTTGAAAAGGAAGCTTCCATGTCAACACTATTGTGCCTCGACTACACAGACTGAAAATAAATATTCAATCTGTATTAAGGTCCGGTCACAATATAAGAGATACAGCAAAATCCATCTTTCCAAAATAGACAGCGTTAGAGGCTTGGTGGTGTAGAGACTACTGGTGAACAACTGCATCTGGCACTAACACATCTGGGAGCATTTTACAGCCTCGACAGCTCAGTTTATGGGACAATAAGGTAACACTAGTTGTGTTTCCGACAAATGTATCGCAAATTTGAATTGAATTTCAAGTAAATCAGGCCAATGATAGGCATTCAGGATTTTGCTGACTTTTCTTGCAGTGAAATTACCAGAAAAAAAAGTGAAATAGCAGAAAACATTGTTGTGATTTTTTAAAATAATTTATTAAAATTGAAACTTGTTCCATGAGAATAAAATTGCTGATAGGTGAATGGTGTTATATGGCTCCACATTTTGCGCAGGGGATGGCAATGATTTTTTAAATCCGTGGGAAAGTACAGTGATTGATCAAATTTGCAGAAAAGTTACAGTGATCGCAAGGTTGCGCAGCATTAACAGGCAGTGGTTGAATTTGCATTAATTGTTGCGATCGCAATATTGCAACTTCCTGGAGCGACTGAATAGGAGTTGCCAATTCTCTAGTCGGAGAACCAGAAGAAGAGGGTGCACCAGATTGATGTGAGAGAGTCAGTGGAAGCTCAGATGGTGAATGGGAGTGATGAGGAGTGCCTTATGAGGAGGAGTGACTTATCTGAAAAAAGTATCTCCGATTTAGCTCATTAACTCCTTTTCACAAAGGAAAAAAACACCTCAAGCAAGCTTAAAAATGTGTATCAAAATATATTGATGGAAACACAGCTGCAGTTTATACTCCTATAGAAGAAGGGTAAATAAAAGTGACTATTGAGAGCTAATAGGCTGCAATAGCTTCTGCCATTTTGGATTTTGCGGTCTGTCAGTTCCTTCACAGGTCAGCACTATCAAGGCGATTTGCTGCCGGTCAAGAGCGCGAGTCAAAGTGAATCCACCATAGTCAACCATATAAAATTCCCTCAGAATGACTTTGCCGCCCAGAGCAAATCCACTGATTGGGAAGAGTCCACTGAAATGGATGAACTTTTTCATGAAACGTATCAGTTTTAAAAGATAATGTGACCGGTCTCTTAGTGGACATTGACAGGAACATACAACCTTTCACAGAAACAATAAAGAAGGGGTTTTACTGCTACCCTCAAGGATGTTGTACATTCTCTTACTTAGCTCATGTTTATGTACACATTGTCTAAGAGTGACATTTGTTTATTGTCAGGGAGCAGCTCCAGTCATACTGGGAACACACTGCATTATGAAATGATTAGACTTAACAGACTTATATGAGATGTGATACAAGTTCTTTATGTTTGTTGCTGTGGGGCCATATTCTGTGTTATAGGCTGTCATGAATTGTTCAAACCTTCAAAGCTTCATTCATAACGTTGACATTTGAATGCTGTGCAAGTCAAATGTTAAAAAAGTTACATTTTGTCACAGCCCTATTGAGTCCATTATTGTAGTCAGATTAGTTATATTTTATGCGTGTGAAAAGCTTTTTCATACCAAGCATGTAACTTTGTCTTTTAAGAAGAAATAAAAAAAAAAGCCTTAGTCTTGGGTTTGAGTGTAAGTGCCAGGGGTATTCGGCCTACTCAGGTCTGAAAGGCACATGTAAGAAGCGAGTTCAGGTGCAGAATTCTTGTTCTGTTCTTTTTGTACTCTTCTCTCTTGCCAAATCTTTAGCTTGCAACTAAACACAGCCCTAATGCTAATGACCCATAATGCAACCGAAGGACAACATCAATCACATTTTCTATGAGGCAAAGCGGGGAGAGTTTTCTCACAGCTTGAGCGGAGACTGGTAGGGGAGTGACAAATCTGTAAAGGCAGGAAGCTCCTGCTTCACACATACTGTGCTTCTAATTCAATCCAACCTGCAGCTATAACGAGGCTAAAGTTGTGCAGTGTGCTCCTAGCATTGGTTGCGATCTTTAAACACATCAGAAATAGACTGCGAATCCTCGATATTTCACAGAAAATGCTCTCTTTACAAATACTGATTACAATGTGGCAGACTATTTTAATTCCTACAATGACTGATATCCCCTTAATAAATCAAAAAGAACTTTCATGCTCAGAAGGCATGAATACTGCTGCATCTTTATACTGCTGATGTAGATGAGGCTTGTCTGAATACAGTAGCACAGTTCAGATGGGACAGCGGCAATGCTTGTGATGATATGAGGTAAGAATGAACGAGTGCATGGAAAGGATGATGTGTGTCGGCCTCTGCTAGAGTGGATTGGTGGAAGCTGAAGAAAGATGGTGGGACATCCTGTTAATGTCTGTCACACTGGCTGTGTTTAAGTATGTCCAAGCATACAAGCATAAGTCCAAGCATGTGTGAGTCTTAGTGTGTATGAGATTGTGTGTGTGTGTTCTGTGTGAGGATTAGGTGATCAGACTTTGTATCATCAACTCTTTCATGTCTCCTGAAAAAGAAAGAATCCATTCGTTTTGAATGATAACTTGAATATTGATCATTAACATGGCCGACAATCAGTAGAGGAAAATGCCTAAAATTTGCACCCCAACAAAGAGATAAAAGTCAAAATGTGACATTAAACTTCTGATCAGACTAAAATATTTGCTAAAATGTCAGAGTGACCTGATGTTTAAAAGTGTATCCTGTATCACTATGTGTGTGTATGTGTGTGTGTGTGTCATGGGATCTGGAGCTGCAGTTCCTCGTCCTCCTCATCCATGTCGCTGGTAGGACCGTCTGGGTTTTCAGGACTGAACCGAGCTGACCGCATCTTCCCAAAGAGACCAGGATTCTGCTGCTGCCGCCGCAGTCTGCAGAGGAGGGAGAGAGAGAGAGAGAAAGAGAGAGAAGAAAGGGCGCATGGTGTTAGAATAACACTACAATGCTAAAGAATATAACTGAACTGTTTTGTGATATTGAATTGATTCTCAAAAAGCACTGTATTAATTTTTGTGTTTTAACCCCCAGGTTCTGGATCAGTTGTTCTCAAACTTTTTTCAATGATGTACTGCCTTTGAAAAACATTTTTAGTATCCCCCTGACCAGTGCAAAACATTATGTAGAATGTATTAAGAAAGAAACTTGTCTAGAATCACTAAATTCATGCAAACCAATGTTTTGTCATCATGCAGTAACACTAAGATAGCCGTGATGTTGCATTTAGCTGTATTTTTGATGAGTTGCACAATTCAGTAAGTGAGGATCTTTGTCATTATAGGTGGCAGTGATCAAACTCTGTTCCAGAGGTTTTACTGTAGTTGTCAATTTACAGCAGTTAAACACAGCAAGTATTGTACTGAAAATAGGAATAGTGAATAGGCTATCAAACTTACCTTGACATTTTTTTATTGCCCTTAGTAGAATTATTTCACAAATAATGCATGACTGATATTTTTCAACTAAACATTAAAAAACTGTCCCTCCAGGATCTTGTAGGCATTTTTGTTGCGGACGAAAATACCTGATTTCACAGCAGCTTTTCTAAACAAATGTGATGCAATCCATTATTGCAATGTTTTTAGGCAGATTGTTGCAATTAAACTGCAGGAGAAATTGAAAATTGCAAAAATTGTTGCAATTATTTGTTCCAGTGAGAATCACTAGTCGTTTGGATGACGTGAGGATCAGCATTTATGATCGGTAAAATTTGTAAAAATGTAGAAAGAATTGCAAGGTTGCGCAGAATTGATATGATTGTTTAACTTTGCGTTAATTGTGGGAACCGCAGCATTGCAACTTCTTGGAGGGACTGTATTCAGGAGGAGAGGGGCGATATTCAGCAAGGGGGCCACAGGTTGGAATCAAACCTGGCCTGCTGTATGACTTGTTCTTTCAACTCGGATTTTCTCGAAGTTATCTCAAGACACTTTTCAAATAGAGCAGGTCTAGACTGAACTCCTTATAACATTATAAGCCTTGCTTCCAGTATCCCATTATATTGAATTGTAACCCCAGTATCACAATACTTTTCATCAGATTCTTGCCAACACCCAGCCCTAATAATCTTTACATCAGACACAGCAGGTGAGCCAACACTCTGGCCTGTGTCTCCAAATGAATGTGCATCTGTATGTATAAATGTGTGCTGAGATACACAATTACACACAGAAACAGCAAGAGCAAGGAAAGTCAAATGTTATGAGTTATGGAGGTAAATACTACTTGTTACTACTTTGTGTAATGAATTCATCTAAAGATTTAGTGTATTCAGCTTCTGTACTCAATACTGCGAAATATACTTCAATGAGGTAAATGGACAGGGACAACATTCAAAAGAGGGGTACAAAGATGAGTACTGAATACTGCATTACAAGTAACAGCATGAGGGATATACTATACCAACTAGCTAAAGCTAAAGCAATGGACATCTTTTATATGTCTGTCTTTATTTATGCTGAGGACAAATGAAAATACTGTGGAATATGTGATCTACATGGCAGAGTTGATTTCAATGAGCCACAAAATGAAAAAAAGATTTTATTTCACCCTTTGCTGTGTACATTTCCAATTGATTCAAAAAGGCAATGCCTATTGATTTTTTTCTAAGATGCAAGCTAGGTCTATTATTTTTACCCCAACACACAAGTTGTCAGAATGACTGGATGGTTGGAGGCACCAAGGCTTCACCTCTCTGAAAGGTAGAGTCAATATAAATCCTCTTAAGAATTTCAGACTGTTTGAACACACTGTTAAGATGCTAATCACACATTCCAACTGATTTTTAACATTGTCTTGATCTATGTCTCTGACATGACGCTGTATATGAATCATTATGTATATACATTTACAACATTACTGCATAACTTCGTAGTCAAAGGTCATTGACCAGGAGTCAGGGGAAGGTTGGAGAAAGATTGAGGAGGACATTGACAGTTATTTAAGTTATTGTTTTCAACATGTAAAAACCTTGTGTCAATTTGTCAAAGCATGTTGCTGGAGCCCAGCAGAAGAAGCGCTCTGTGGTGTGAACTGAAACTGAAATATGTTTTTTCATCATCTGTGTGTCCTGCTCATATAGGACAGTTATAAAATCCCACAGTGTCTCTCCTGCAGTGCTGGTAAAAAGCGACGGGCTGTAGTAATTTAGTAGTAAAAAGAAAAAATAGTCAAATGTTTGTATTGGACAGCCAAAAGGACAGTAATAATGCACATTGACAAAGGGTACAGCCATATTATGTGTTCATTTGCATATAAAGTGGTCACTGTTGTACCTAAAGCTGTCCACTTGTAATTGATTACCCAAGACGCATATTTGTTCCAGGTATAAGGAGGGTCTGACACCAGAAACCATCTCTGAACAAGGAAAGAGGTTACCATCTTCCCCCACATACAGCCACCTGTTATCACTGCACCAAAGTCAAGTGATGACATCTAAACCATCTTCATCACTCAGCAAACTATTGACCACTCAGCTTTGATCTCCCACTGTCCTTCAGTTCACCTCTTCATTTATTAGCTGTGACCAGCAGCCCTGTAGCTCATTCTGTTGGTCAGTTGGTCAGTCCCCAACCTTTGGCTCCCACAGTTTCCGTCCTTGGAAGCTGAATATTCGGCTTGGATTGGAAGTGTTTTTGAGGTTTGTGGTCGCAGCTATTGCAAACACTTTTTTATGCTGTTCCCTCTGCCCCACTACTTCCTTTTCCTTTACCTCAGCTCCTCTTCTCACCCTTTCCCTTCCTAATCTCCTTCCCTCCCTTCACTATTCTCTCTCTCTTTCTCTGTCAACCTTTGTCAGTCATTTGTCAGACGTCAGTCAGCCGGCCAGGTCTGGGTCAGAGCAACTGGTACATAAACCATCATAACATTTGGACCACAACACCAGCTCCACCACTAACAGCTTTTCTATTGAGCCTACAGACATGGATGCCTATCAATCTACAGTAAGAAATGGGAAGAGAGAGAGAGTCAGGAGGGAAAAGGAGAAGACAAAGATGCTTGCCATCCATTTGTTACTGTGTTGTGGTCACTGTTTGACTGAGTGATGAGGAGGATCGATGGCTTTCACAAAAACACCAAAACCCCAGATCATGTTCCCCACACCACAGACGGAAACATGAGCAACCACTGATTGAAAGACAGCGTGTGTGTTTGTGTGTGTATCAGAGGACTGTGTGGTTGCCATGTATTGTACATATATCAAGACAGCAATGTTTGCCAGAGGAATTCTCCTAACATGCACTACTACAGCAGATGATTTAGGGCTGTTGTGGTCGTCTAGTAGAGAGGGTTGCTGGTTCGATTCCTGGCTCCCGCTGTCCAGTCAAAGTATCCTTGAGCAAGATACTGGACCACAATTTGCAAAGTGTAAATGTATATGGTTGAGCTTAGTATCATTGTTCAAGGTTTACGGATTCAAGGTTATATTATTGTCAGTTACAACGCAAGGTTGTAGAATTAAATTTGAAATAGTTCCCTTTATGCTACTTTTAAAAAACAACATTGATTAATGAGTCATAAAAATACAAATACACAAAAATTACTAATTTGTATGATGAATTTTTGAGAAAGAGTTTAGCAGCCTCACAGCCTGAGAGAAGAAGCTGTCTTTAAGTCTGGTATATGTGGATATATGTGGATTTTCAACATTATCCACTAGCAAATTCAATTCAATTCAATTTTATTTGTATAGCGCCAATTCATAACAGAAGTTATCTCAGGACACTTTTCAAATAGAGCAGGTCTAGACCGAACTCTTTATAACATTATTTACAGAGACCCAACAGTACCACCATGAGCAAGCACTTGGCGACAAGGGCAAGGAAAAACTGTCTGTTAAAAGGCAGAAACCTAGGACAGATCCTTCAGCTCTAGGTGGGTGGTCGACCAGTTGGGGTGAGAGAGAGAGAGAGAGAGAGAGAGAGAGAGAGAGAGAGAGAGAGAGAGAGAGAAATGGACAGTTATGAGACAAGATTTGATACAAATATGTCTCTTTACCAACCACGACCTAGCCGTGGAAATGTACTGTACATGTTCAAATTTCCATTCTTCTGAGCGCTTGTGTGTGTGTGTGTGTGTGGAAGCCATCTGCTCTGGAAGACATTACGAAAGCTCCAGAACAGCTACTGAGTTGAAAATAAAAATAAATAAAAAAAAAAATTAAATGTGAAATGTCTCTGGAATAGTTGTTACACTCTCCTCGTACCTCACACACAATCACATTAACACAAACTAGCAAAGGACTCACCATCCAATTTCAAGGCTTATTCTCCTCTGACATACCGACTATGATACACCCACATACAAAGCTTATATTAGATATTTGGGTTTAGGAAAAACACTATCACCAAACTAAATGACACAGCACATACAGTACGTTTCCATGCTTCCCATTCACTGTCTATGTAAGGACCTGGGCAATGCATTCTGGTAGTCCTGCAGTGTGTTTTGAGAGATGAAGCATTCTGTTGGCTGGTCCCCATGTGCATTAAGTAGAGGTCTAGGCTACATTAAAGCTATAATATATAACTGTCTATAAACTCTAGAGCTATGTTCTATATGTAGTTGAGCTGTGGACTGACATTATCCCAAATGTTTCCAACAACGTTTAAACAATGTTCTTTTTATTCAGGTAAGTGTCAGCGTTGTGGTTGTCTGCCAGAAGCTGTCATACATTGACTTTTTATACAGTTTGAACCCACATTTTTACCATCTACTGTTTAGATCTTGGTGCTTTTTAACTAAATTTAGATAGATTTGAACCAGATGAAGGATTTTAGTCATCGGCTGAATCTTAAGTTATTAGTGACACAAGCTTTTTGTGTCTGCTATAACTTGTGTCACTGGCACATGGCAAAAAACACGCAGACAGGATAAAGTTATGTAGTAAGAACAGAACCATCAATCAACATGAGCTTTAACACACTAATTTTCAGTAGGATGAAACACACACTAACACAGCGATGAGACAGAACACACACATACACATACACTTACACAAGTCAAGTAGTCTCTGAGAAACTGAATGAAAAAAAAAAAAAAAACAGAATGAAGAAAAGCTTAGGCTACACCTTCTGCAAGAACACACACAGATTTATGTCAGTCTCTAAAGCTGTTACCATGCCGACACGCCTGTCACTACTCTACAGAGTGGAGTAACAAGAGAGCTCTCTGTTACTACGGTAACCTGTGACTGGAAGCTTGGCGATTGGCTGTCGGGTGGCGGAGCAACGACATGGAAAAAATGGGGAGAATGCAGAGGGAGAGGCAGGGGGCAAGGAGCTGAGGACTGTGCAAAGCTGATAGAGTGTGAGAAAGATGGGCCATACACACACACACACACACACACACACACACACACACACACACACACACACACACACACACACACACACACACACACACAAAGAGGAGAGGAAGCTAATCTCTAAACAGTAAGATAAGTGAGGCTCACAGTGAGGCTGGCAGCTACAAGTAGGCTGTCAGCCTCACATCACACACACACACACACACACACACACACACACACACACACTCATACACACACACACACACTCACACACTCACACACTCTCACACTCTCACACTCTCACACACACACACACACACACACACACACACACACACACACACACACACACACCTGAACATGGTGTGTTGTGAGTAAGTGCCTTCATGGTAGGGTGTGTGTTTGGGAGTGTAAGTGCTGTTGCTGAACATGTCACCACTCTTGCTTAGATTACAAAGATTCCACTGTGGCATACAGTGAGCCTTTGGTAAAATATTCCACTGTCTCTCTGGAGTTTGATGACAAGATACTAGTGTAGAATATTTTATTGTGCATTTTTGCCCTCTGGAATCCTCGAGAGACTTGCTTGCAAACTGTGGTCAGCTATAGGTGGTAAATGTTTAAAGCTGCAGTAGGTAACTTTTCTTAAAGGAACTTTTCAGCATATTTGCTGAAACTTTCACTATATCCTGACAGTAGTACATGAGACAGATAATCTGTGAAAAAATCTGGTTCCTCTGGCTCCTCCTAGTGCTACTAATGGCATTTGCAAGAATTCACCGGGCACCTAGGTCATCAAATACTTATGCTTGGAATGAGACTCAACAATTAACTATCTTTCTCTGCTCTGATTGGTTGTTTTTGTGTAGGCCAGGTGGACAAGACAAAACATTTTTTTTTTTTTAGAAAAGTTACCTATTGCAGCTTTAAGAGACTCGCTTACATGCCGTTCTCACCAAAGCTTATATTTTTCCGCCTTCCAAACATACTACAGTTTTCCCCTAACTAACATTACGTTTGCCACAGCACAGGCTAAAATATGATTCAAATTTTCCAGGACAATACAGATTATTTCCATTATATTTGGTCATTTTAATCAATTGCTAGGTGTTCCATGACTGGAAAACTACTTTCTAAAATCCAAGGTTATCTAAGACGTGTGGGAACCCAGTAGGTGGCAGGTAATAAACTGCCAGATAGTGCTGGTAAAAAAAGAATGAACAAATCTTTTGTTTCTTCTGGTTTTTCCAGTTTGGTATGTTCTGTGTCTGCACTGGTACTGCTTCCAGGAAATAACCTCATCCACGCATTCTGTGTCTGACACTGTCAACAGTCCTCACCTTCTCCTACTAGGCTCTTATAGATTACAAACAGAGACATATTTCACATCCATAAAAAAGTTGTTTTGTAGTTGTTACAGCATGATTGATACAAAGTTTTGCCCCAACACATTTAAAGGCAAGACTGAAAGATTTAACTTTATACATGTCGTTCATCCAATCAATTTTAAGACATGTCAAAACCATATTTAAGACATTTTGAAGACAGTTTTAGGCCCCTCACCCTGATATATAGAACTAATGTCTTTAGTTTTAGTTGTTGTCAACACAACAAGCATGGGAGGCATTGGTGTACATGTTTGAGACTGAAATGTCTACATGACTACTGTGAATACTGTGAGTAAGTGTTTGTGTTGTAATACATATTGTAACAAATACCCAACATATTATAATACATTTTAAAAAACTAATACTAAAATAATCAAAACTAAACTAAAACAAATCCTTTTTAAACAATAAAAACTAAAGTGAAACCAAACTCACTCTGGAAACGAACTGAAACCAAACTGAATTGAAAGCAAAAATTAAAAACAAAACAGAAATAAAAACTTATCAAAAATACAAAACTATAACTCTGGTTTCTACAGTAGCCCTAAATTTCAAACCAAACACTGAGTCTAGATGGGGCCTTTCACATTGTTTGGGAGTTTTGTGACCGCCGCAGTTTCTACACACTGGTCCTTTAACACCAACTGTAATATAATCTCCTGCTTGACAGTTTGTGAAAGGATCTGACTGCTAAATACACAAAAGATGTATTCTGGGTCTTAATGCTAACTGATTTGTGTGTTTTTGCATGTTTATATCACTCTTAACAGCTGCCATGTATGGACTGAAGAGAGATACTCTATGATGTGTGTGTGTGTGTGTGTGTGTGTGTGTGTGTGTGTGTGTGTGTGTGTCTTACCTTGACTGTAAGTGTTCCAGTTGTACTTGCAGATTCTCAGTCTGCTCCACCTGCTCATCCAGAGACCTCTGCAGCTTCCTGGTCTGGTTATGAGACTCATCCAACTGGACACAAACAACACACACACACAATTACTCCCATAAAAAATAACTCAAGTAGAAGTAAAAGTTACCACTTGAAAAACTTACTCAAGTAAAAGTATAAAAGTACTAGGTCAATTAACATCTCAGAGTACAACATTGTTTAATGTGTGCAGGCCAGACATCTTTACAAGTCATTCTATACGAGTCCAAGTCAAAACTCAAGTCAAGAGTCAAGTCTCAAGTCTCTGGAAATATTACACCCATTGTTGTGCATCCAGTTAGAAGCCACTGTGCTACATAGTTATTTCTAAGGAATGCACTTGGTTATTTTTCTCTAATGAAATCATACAATTATTTTACCTACTTTTCTAATCTGAATAAAGGTGTTGATAATATCACTTTGAAATATCATACTTGCTAGCTGCCTAGCCTAGTATTGTTCCCTTTATCTGTTGTTATCATGATATGGACAAACCACTTGCTTTGATATGAAAAGCGTTGCATGTGATTTGCCTTCTCCAATAGAATATAACAATATAAGATGATGATTCCTAAAGCATCTATGAACATAATCTTTAATGTAAATAATAATAATAATAATTGTTATTATTATTATTATTATTATTATTAGGTTTGACTGACAGATAGTGAATCCAAAGAGACCAGTTCTTTTATCTTAACTATCAGTTGTTTGGAATGAGTCAGAAGCTTATGGTTTTCAATAAATAGACAAGAGCAATGATGGTGTCTGACAGCACCAACATATACAGCCATGTTGTTACCTCGTCCTCTGCCTGTCCCAGCTCTTTCTTAAGCTCCTCCACCCTCAGGCGTAGCTTTTTGACTTCTGCCTCATGGCTCTCCACCCTCCGGTTGGCGTGGGCAAGCTCTGCTGTCTTCTCCTGGAACTGCTTCTTCAGTTTAGAGTGAACATGGCGAAGGTCAGCCAGCTCCTAAGGACAGAGCAGACAGACAGAAAAGACAGGCTTAGAGACTAATGTCTCCACCACAGTTATGTTGATGATGATGCCGTAAATTGACATGAAGAGTGTCCAAACACAAACTGAGTGTATTCCTGGGGCTTATGGTAGATTTTATTTCCATCAGAATTCCAAAGTTGAAGCTGGAAATTACATCACACCCGAGTTGACTGCGTCCCAGTCCAACAGGTCAGAAAACCAAGCTCTAGTTAGGCATTAGCCATTGTTAGCAATACCAGATAAAAACAGATTACGCTGTATTTGCTCATACTTAATGAGAAACAAAAGACAGAAGTCCTAATAAACAGAATATTAGTTTAACTTAGTTGATGTGCGGAGCAGCCATCTTGGATTTTGAGGTTATGCAACTACAGGGGGCATTCCACTTGAAGAGGAGCTTGGTAGCTGAAGGCTCTTGTTCTCTCATGCAGCCTTACTGATAAATGAAAGATCTTCCTTATTACGACAAAGGGCTGGTGTACAGGACAGAGAGAGCAGAAGCTTCCTCTTAGGAAGCTAGGAATGACTCTATCCCTGCTTTCACCAAAACTTGCAGCTGCAGGAGCCAAGCAGACAACAACCAAAATCTATTTAAATCTAAAAGACCAGTAAAAACATCCAATATTCCCTGATGAGAGCCACATGGGTGTTAAGGGCCTCTACATGGACGTGTGAAATTCAGGTTTCTTCCATCTGTCTATCAGGCTGTAATTCTAGGTAATTGTGGTTGAGCCAACAAAAAGCTGTACTCCACAGGTTTGCACTGGGATTAGCTGAGGAAAGTCTGCACTTGCAGCTAATGGCATCGTTAATAATGCACCATTGTCACTCACTGCACTTTCATGTACTTTGATGGCGTTGATTCAGCCTCTCTCTCTGCTGTCTCACACCTAATGGATCCCCAGACAGAGCAGCTTCCAAGAAGCTTTTCTGGCCTTACACAGCAATACGACAGAGAGAAAAGAGATATCTACAGGAACAATAAAAGACAAGCCCAGATCAAGGAGTGGGAAAAGTAATTTACTTATATATTTATATCCCTATTTGATCCAATATTTGATTCTTTTAGCTATCAACACACAATTATCTTTAATTTATATTTATTCTCACTACATACACAGAGGTAACATGAAGAGTGTGTTAGAATATTTACATGATAATCAAGGCAAAATGCCTGAATACCATACAAACAGTAGTGTAACCCTAGAGCCAGATCAAACAAAGAGAGCAGCAGGGTAATGCAGAAGGGAACAATTAAAAGGAAGGGGGAAGGGGGCGGGGTCTTGAGAAGGAGACAGGGATGAAGGGATGCGGAGACAGATGAGGAGCAGTGGGGGGTGGTAATTGGACGGGTGGTGTTTTACAGGACGATAAAGGTGAAGCATAAGAACAAAGAAAATTGTCAGTGTGGCAGCCTGCACGAGAAAAAGAGGCCTAAAACACAAATTCATGAGAACATGTCAGACACGACATTTTATGCTTGCCCTGATTTATTCTATAGTTCTGTTACTGTCAAAAAATCCAATGCTCTATGCCCAAAGCCCACTGGTTCCAACTGAAGATGTAAATCTTTAAATATTGGTCACAAGTTTCATGTTTAAAAAAGGCTCAGTAATTAGTAACAGCTGTCCAGTGTAAAATTTAGCAAAGGTTACTCAACCAGGAGCAAATGCATTTGTTTGGCACTACCTTCAGCTGCGGATTCATGCACATTTGGTGCTATCACAGGTATGTAGAATATCAGCCACCATTTCTTTTAAGGGAATAGCAGTATCTATCTATCTATCTATCTATCTATCTATCTATCTATCTATCTATCTATCTATCTATCTATCTATCTATCTATCTATCTATCTATCAAGAAATCTGTGTGTGTGTGTGTGTGGCTCAAATATCTCTGCAGATCAGGATCAGACTGACCTGAGAGTTTCAACATGGCTGCTGTGGTTTAAGGGTGTGCAACGTCGGCTTTGTTTGGACTATAAAGATACCGTTAATAAATTATTATTTCTCTCTCTCTCTCTCTCTCTCTCTCTCTGGTGTATGCTGGCCTATATTACAGGACTAAATAATATGTCCTCAATGTCCCTGACGTCCCACCTTCAAACACAACCTCATTTGGCCATCCATGAAAAAGCTACTTAACCTCCCACTTTTCTATAGCAATACATACTTCCTACGGGCACTGCACTAGTATCATATAAATATCAGTCTACCACATATCCTAAAAATAAGTAATAACATTCACTGGTTCCAGTGTAAAAGTTTGTTGCTGCCAATACTGAAATAAAATCATTTAATCAAATGGAATTTGTGTGTGCATGAAGAATTGCAACTTTGAAATCTAATTTTCAATAATTTTCTAACATCATCCACAACATTTTAATTTTTTTCCCCCTCCAATTTTGAAATTGCATTTATTAACACTCTCTTTTAAACTGTAATTAAATGTAAATAAATGCATTTTCAAAAGTGGAGAAAAAAAAATTATTTAAATGTTGTGGATGATAATTTAAAACAACCAATTTTTGGTTTGTCCCTTCTGGGCTACACAACAATTCCTATATTCAGGTGATTATATACACTAAAGAAAACATACCTTCTGACAAATGATCCTCCTAATTGATTAACCTTTAATTATAATATTAGCAGCCATAGGCTTCCATATTACAAATGTGAGGATTTGCTGCTTTTGTTTTTTGATTCTTTCTATCATTGTAAACTAGATATATTTAGGTTTTGGACTGCTGGTTAGACAAGCAATCTGATCTTTGATTTCACTTTCTTATCTGAATATTCTACTGAAATTTCTCCTGTCTCACATAATTTCAAAATAGATTTAATCAAACAACAAAACAAATACTACAAATATATATTACATCAGACATTCTAAATAAGTTACTGCAGTGCAATTCATTTACATTCAACGCTTAGTCCAGACAGGAACACTGAGGGCTATTTAGAGTGCAAACTCTGATTTAACTGTTTGACAAACTGAGGAACCAAAGAGTTATTACAGTCTGTTCATTTGAGAAAGTGAGAATCTTCTGTTTAACTGCAGAAGCTGATATTCTTCAAATAAAATAAGAGAGGGGTGTAATGTGACATTACTAGCCGGAAACAACATCCTGTTAATAAAGTCTGAAAATTTTACTAAAAGGTTTGACCCAGAATTAATTAATTAAGCTGAACACAGAGACAACTACAACTGCTGAAGATGCTGAAGAACAATTAATTGACTAATTGAAAAATAATCAACAGTTTAATCAATAGTGACAATAATATTTATAATTCTTTTTTTCCCCATTTTCTTTCCATATCCTTGTGGACTGTTTCATCAGCCCAGTTTCCCCACAGGTTCATTACATTTTCATCTTCTTGTCCGACAGGACATCCCAAAATATCCACTTCCTGAGAAATGTGACACCGAGAAAAAGGCTGCTGGTGTGACAACAAAGCCAATGTGACTTATCGCCAGTTAAACAAATTAAAATCCATTTCTAACAATTATAGTACATATTAGATATCATATATATTGAAACTAGGAAAATGGAAAGACAAACTGAGAATACAGAGATACAGCGTCTGTGGAGTGAAACTAAAAATAGAAAGAAAAAGGTGGCAGACAGACACAGACGGAGTCCTGGCTGCTGTCCCTGGTATTTGTCAGACAGAAGGTCTGACAAAAGGAGCAGGTTTCTACTGTACGCCTCAAAGCAGACATACAGCCCAGAAACATCCATATTCCCTGCAGTTTGATTATTTTGACACTATGTGATGAATATGTGACGGCGGGGGGGAGAGGCTGGGATACTCTGACTATCAAACATAAAGGTCTAATGAATGATCCATGAGCATGGATGTTTGCCTCTGTATATGTGTGTGCATGTGTGTGTGCATGTGTGTGTGCGTGTGTGTGTGTGTGTGTGTAGGAGTGTGTTCATTCATGTTTAGTGTGCATGTGTGTTAATGCTCTATTATGAGTTTTTGTATTTGTGCCAAATCTGTGTCTGTATGCTCACACACAAAAGCACAATTATGTGTGTATTACTGTACGCACGTGTGTGTGTGTGTGTGTGTGTGTGTTACGGCACGCTGCCTGTTAAATGTTTCTCCTTGACTGGAGAGACCCTGAAGTCTGCCTCTACATCTGTTCCACTAAAACAAAGACACACACACACACACACACACACACACACACACACACACACACACACACACACACACACACACACACACACACACACACACACACACACACACACACACACACACACACACACACAAATAAACCACGAGCTTGTGCCCAGAAATATGTTTACACATTCACACATTCATCACCTTCATCTCTGCACACACAAATGCAGACACACAAAGAATTGCTATAATTCTCCCTTCCCCCACTACTGTCTAAATTAATGCTAAATTCACTATGGCAAAGTCCGCACACACACGCAGTGAATAGAAGAATTGGGTTTATAATCGGGGGGGGACTTATGGGCACTGCTCTAACCAGATTGGTCAGAACAGATCAGCTTAAAAAAAGAGTAAGAAAATGAAAAGAGATGTAACAGAATATGGAAATGGACAAGAGAAACTGTGTATGTATGTATGTATATAGACACCAAATGTATTTAATAAAAGCAGAAAAATTCAATGATTAAAGCTTCTATTTACTCTATGTCTATGACAGGGTTCTGTTGTAACCTTCATGGGTCAATAATGATCTCAGTGTCAGTGACCTGAGGTCATTACTGAACCACAACGGTACAACTGGGCTCTAAATATTTAGGGAACATGTTTTTCTTGTCTGGGGGACTGCTGGTATTGTCGTCTCATAGGAGGGCCACGTCAATGTCCAAGAACTACAAGAAAGCACAAAAAAACCCAGAAAATATTTCAATGACTAACATACTAAAAATGCAAACAGCAGTTTCTATACATCAAATAAAGCCCTGAAATCTGCTCTCTTCTTATCAATCCTCTGCACACATTTCAAGGCACCTTTGACCTTTGTCACTATTTTGCACCGAAATAAATACACAGAATTGTGTTTTTATTTGAATTGCATGTGAAGGGGTACTTTCAATTTATATGAAACAACTATAAAAGAAAAAAATGCCCCCGGAAGTTTTAAGAATAGCAGCTAAAGCTGCTTGTTCGATTTATTATTGTGCAGGGACCTGTTCTTGTTTAAACCTGCATATATATTGATGCTAAGCTTCCAGGTTCTTGGAACAATGACTGCTGAGTTCCTATATTCTTATTGTTGCTGAGAGGGATCTTTGTGTCTTTCTTCCCTTTCAGTTGTCAGTCTGGTTGAACCAGCTTCGTTCTCCATGTATAAAACTTGACTTCTTTTGCAAACACTTCATACAACATAACATCTATTTGTAAAAGGACCATTAAAAAAAAACAAATATATATATATACACTGATCCTTATGAGCACCTGGGCACCCTGGTGGTCAGAATGTTCTGACACCTTTCTATCAGAACCAGCATTAACTGTTTCAGCAGCTCGTCAGCCTTCACTCCCTACGTGCACCAATGAGTCTTGGCCGCCCATGACCCTGTCTCCGGTTCAGTTGGTCAAATCCTCACTTCACCTGTCAGTGCTCACAATGTTATGTCTGATCGGTGTACATGTTGCATTTGGTTTATTTTCTTACGGTTTGGACATGCCGGTTTCTTCTGCCTCTATCAGAACCTCTCCCTGTTCTTTTTTCTTCTCTTCATCTTCCTCCCACTCCTTTGCATATTCCTCTCTCTCCCTTGTCCGTCTCCCCCTCTCCCTTTAGATCTTCATCTTCTTCATCTTCTTCACCGCACTCATCCTCCTACCTTGGAGCTTATTTACCCTGTTGCTTTCCCGCTCAAACATAATGTCAGGAATAATTAGTCTGTCTCTCCTAATGATTTATTTTTGTGTGTGTGTGTGTGTGTGTGTGTGTGTGTGTGTGCGCAGCCAACTGCAGCATTAAATAAAACTGAGAGCTTCATAAATAACCCTGTGAGACAGGTGGTAATGGGGGCCACTTATATCGACCATTCTTACACACATACTTGCTGGTGCATGGCAGTGTCACCCAACCAGCGGGGGACATTTAAGGATACTAGAGATCATCATCATCACACACACACACATTACCACTCATTACCAGATAAAACAACTGCTCAGTAATTACTGTACCTTTTGAAAGTAACACAACCATCAGTTTGCATTAAATATGTCTACAACTGCTTTTAAAGCAGCAGAAAGGTCCAGATACCTCAAAGTATTTAACACAGCAGGTCTTCCTGACTGTCTTCACTCTGCCAGAGAGGTGCATGTTGGGTAAACAACCCCACCTGGTGACCATAGGTGTCATAACAAGATATTTACTTTACTAATTATTCAATCTTCAGGTATATTATTATATATTCTACTTTAGTTGACTTTATTTCCATTTTTATTGTGTTTTTAAATGTTGTTCGGGTGCATTTCTTTGTACTTTGATTCTGGGATTGAATAACAGTCAGATAAGATACAAGTGTGGTTTAAAGCTCAGCTGTGATTTTCTAACAGGCTAAAAGGGAGGCTCACTTATTTATACCCAAAGGCCTAAGCTACCCTGGAATGACTCCATCAATGTAATCACTCCTGATGTGAGAAAATGTGTTCACACTTATCACCTGTGTTGTTTGTTGTAATGAGGTTGCCCCCACAGTTAGCTGGAGGCCGCCTCTGCAGCTTGGAATGAGAGAGAACCTGCTGCTCTGTTTGACAGTAAAGTGACTATTTTTGGATTTTGTACTGTGTGGAGGTGGGTGTGGTTTGCACTCAGGAGAGAGAGAGAGGTATGGGGAAGGCTTGGGGGAGCAGCGCCAGGTGAGTTGACGATCACAGCTGCTACTCATTGAGTAATCACTCCCTTATATTGCAGTAGTATTGTGGACCTGTGTGGTGGAGAGACAACTGAGCACTAGAGTGGTATTGTGTGGTACAATAACCCAGTGTGTGAGATTGTGTGCTGTAAGAACCCAGTAGCATAGAGACCTGCTACATGCTGATTGTTGGATAAAGCAGTGAAACTGAAGACAGCACCCAGGGATCTGGGAAGGGTAGTTTCTGTGTTGTCTGACATCTTCATGGAAATAATCCACAGAAAATAACCATTAGTTGCAGCTCTAATCCTGAGACATATTATATATTTACTTGCTTTGAGAAGATCTTTTCAACTGCCATCTTCAATCATGGCCAAATCAACATCCAGGTCTGGGTAGTGGTGGCAGCAGTCTCCAGCCCTTTTACAGTAATGGCGGAAAACACAAACCAATCATCAGATTTGTGTACCGATCATCAGATTTGTGAATTATCCATTAATCCATCCATTATTATCCAGATTTGTGAATTATCCATTAAACTATAGTATACCAGCTGTATTCATGCATCTGACTACACTCCTCTGCTTCATTCTGGAGTCTAAAAAAATGACAATATGGTGGCAACTACTTAGAAAAACACACTCTGCAGTGGGAAACCTCTGGTCGCAATCAGCGTTTGTCTGGTATTTTTGCAGTCTTGAGGTTTAAAGCAGTAAAGACATAGAAAGAAACAAACGTTACTTGTGTCACTGACGGTAAGAATGAAGCATTGTCGCTGTCAGAGCAGCAAAATGTTTCCTGCCTGACTAGTACCATATGGCACACACAGATACACAGAGAGAGCTATTAAGGAAAATTGTTAATGGTCAGATGTATCTTGTCACAGAGGCTGTGTGTGTGTGGTGTGTGCCTTGACTCAGCAGTTACATATAAGACAAGGGGGACCCCAGCATCACATCACAAGCAGGTGCTGATGAGCTCACACAAACACACACACTTTAATACATTTCATCTATCACCAGCCTAAAAGATGGAATCACAAATATCACACACACACACACACACACACACACACACACACAGACAAACACCATCCACGCAAAATGTTAACTTCTGCTCTCTCTCACCCCCTATTACTACACCAAAGTGTGTGTGTGTGTGTCCAATGTCTTAATCACTCCCATTCTCTGTTCGGATCAATACCATGGTTTCAACAGTATACACAAAACACAATCAATCTCTCTCGTTTCTCAAACACACATGCGCACACACACACGCACACACAGTGTTCACAAGGTCACAAACTCCTAACATATGAAGGGATGCCATCAGTTACAAACTGCAATTGTATTTGCCTCACAAGGAGACAACTGGTGGTTCAATGCACTGGTGAGTACCTCCCACATTATAAATAGAGGGCTGGACTTGACTTGCCTTCCTTTGTCTCCAAACATTTCACCTGGATGATGTGTAGATGATGCAGATGTTTGCCATGTGTGTTTTGATCTACCTTCAATGTGAGTAGCAATTTCTTTAGATTAATTTACATCATATTATGGTAAAAAAGAAACAGTAAGGTTAAACTTAATATATATAATAATATTATGTTGATTTATATGACAGTCTAATCTTTATTTGAAAGATTTATGATACTTAAATGTGTAAATGTTTAACATGAATTAAAGACTGGATTAATGACTTGTTTTTGAAATACTGTCATTTGTTCTTTCTTTGTTTAGAACCATGGCAATCATCATCCTAGAAAGGAAACACTGAATTGGTTAATAAATGGATGACTGATGGCAATCCTTGTTTCTTGGTGGTCTGGTTCTAGTTAGAACCTTATATCCACAACAGTATGTATTGGTGGAGTAAGAAAATGATTGGGGAACATAAAAGATAATTCTGGTGCTTTGGACAATGACATGATAAATGGCCAAGTTGTAATAATGAGGAATTTTCCTTCAACAGTTTGAAAACCTGAATTAAAGAGCCAACAAGACATAAGGGTGGCTGTTTCTGGGGAAAAATTTCCTCTTAGCGTGGCAAAAGCACTTAACCTGAAGTTGTAGTAGTCAAACTCTTACTGAAGTCAGTCGGGAGAAGAGAGAAAACATCTTTTCTTTTCCATGGAGAAAAGCCTTCAGTGCTGTTCTGTCAATGAAGAAATACTCTGCAGGCCTGATATAATGGATGCTAGCAGCAGCTACACTAACCTCTTTAGTAGCCACCATTGTTGTTTTTGAGCATGTTGTAGCTGCCATTAGAACTCTGATTTGTCCAAACCACTGTAGATTGGACACAAGCACATAGCCTAAAGCCTGGCAAGATGGATTCTATGATCTGATTTTGTGATCTTGAAGTCCAGCTGCCTCGCAAGATTAGAAAGCCCTGGGACGTCTAAAAAGAGGACGGTCCTGCCCACCTTGTTCCTCTCAAACAGCTCGCTCTGGATGGCCTTGAGGTCGGTGTCGAGTGCGGAGGCGGCCTGTCGGCGTTTCTTGGCCAGTTGCTCCTCCAGGTCTTCAGCCTGAGCCCTCAGCTTCTTATTGTCCCTCTCCAGGGCAAGTTTCTCTGTCTCTAGGCGCTCCCTGCGCCCCCACTCTGCAGCATTCTCCACCTGCAGCCTCTCCATCTGTCAGGAAGACAGAGAGCAGAAAGGAAGAGCGGCTGTAGTTATACAGGGAAAGTCCTGCTGGAAATGCTCAGAAATGCACTGAAAAGTAACTTCAAACTAAATCTTGTGTCAGTAAAGCCTGATGCAATTCTGATCCCAGCCAAAGGTATAGGTGGGTCCGCTACTACATCTACAACTACTCATGGATGACTTTAGTCAGAATCAACAGTAGTTATTGTGGAAAACACCAATGTCTGTATATATTTACAGGAGTGGTGCTACAACAGTTCCCTTGCATTGTTACAGCAGGACTCTGGTTACTTTCTTGCTAACTGCCTACAGATGATGCCAGTGCAACACACTACCTGTGTGCGTTTCACAATAAATACATTTTAATTGTGACAGCAGCTGCAAGGTTAGCTAACAAACTAAATTAAGATAAACACTTACCAAGGGCTCTTCCTTGGTAAGTGTTTATTATTATTTAGTCATTGTCAGAAAAAATTTCTTAAGATATCAACAGTGGAGAGATGACAGGATATGAGGAAAGGAGAGAGATGCAGAATGACATGCAACAAAGGTCTCCAGCCGGACTGGGGTCAGTGCTGTTAACCCCTAAACCAGTGATACCCAATTTAAGGCCTGTGAGCCAGATTAGAGGGTGCCGGGCGTCCCGCCAACCATTTTCTAATTCACAATGAAAACAAATTGATGCTGGGTGTTTTGTTTGTTGATACCAATTAGTAAATGTTCAATAATGTCTCTTGGCTGAGAAAAAAAGTCAATCCATTACTTTGAAACATAGCAACAAATGGACTCAAAAAGACTGTCTGTGCCTTCCTATCCTTCCATCACCCCACCCCTCCTGCCCTTTCTTCCTCCATGCTTCTGTTCCTCCTCCTACACCCCTGTTTCTGCTCTGCAGCCTCCTCACCTCAGCTCGTAGTTCAGCTAGTTTCTTGTCCATACTGGTTCGGGCTCCAAGTTCGTCCTCCAGGTCTTCAGATATGCGGCCAAGTTCATCCTGGTGCATTTCCTTCAGCAGGTTCACCTAGAAAGTGTTAGGACAAGGGGGAAAAACGCAAAACGTCAAATGTTAATGCTATTGAGGAAACACTGCAGGACCACTGAAATATCGCAGTATTAAACCATTACAAATTCTCCTTCCTTTTACTTCTGCTGTTTTTGAAGGACCAGTTTGTAGGATTCAGGTTTGTACATTCTGGGCTACTGTAGAAACATGGCGGTTCAACATGGCGGACTCTGTAGAAGAGGACCCGCTAGATAATATCCTCTTTTGATAAATAAATGTTGACCTGCCTGTTGAAAACATTGGACCTTTAATTGTGCAACTCTACAATGAGAGCTAAAAACGGGTGATAATATTCTTTAAAGTACTTATCAAATGCACACTGTACATATGAGGTATATTTCATGACCTATCATGACTGACCGATATTACTACTGTGAAAGCGGTCAAACTTTATGTGAATAATCTGCCCACAGATAAGGAGTATTTATAACATTTCAACAGCTTATTAGTTGAGATTCAACAATAGTTTTCTGATATTGCACCACTGTGGTTAAGGTTTGGTTAGGTTTAGGCACAAAAAACATCTTGGTTAGGATATGTTCATGAATTGTCACATACACTCTATATCAGTGGTTCCCAACCTTTTGACCCCTCCTGATATTTTTTAGGAACATTTTATTACAGTTCTCTGTCGGTATTATGTATGTTTTAATTTTTAACAATCATACAGACTTTTTTTTGGGGGGGCAAATTCAGTGTTGTCTTCTCTTTGTTCTATTTGCTTTCAGTGATTTTCACGTTTCTAATGCTGGACTAGGCTGTTTCCCAGAGGGTGAAGGCTCTGTGCCTTTATCTTGTGCAATTTTTTTATTTCATATTTTAAACAATAATCTACAAACATCATTTAATTTTCTTCACAGAAATGAATGAAATCCTGAGATGTAAGTTTTCTCACAACCCTAAACCAGTGTTTATCTAAATAATCTGTTAAATAGTTAGGTAACAGTTGAAATATTACAAAAACTACTAGTTACTAGTACTATCTATATATTCATTCTGATATCCTTGTTGGCCTTGTGACAATACGATACATATCACAATACAGGATTACCATTAAATATATTGCGATACTGTAAGCTAGGCGATATATTGCATTTAAACTGAACTGTTATCCTGTAACATCCAACATCATAGCCATCAGTTTACATTTACGACACTGTATTTTTGTATTTTTGAGAATCGAAAGAGCGATACGATATTTTTCAATATTTTCTTACACCCCTATTTCTAACTGTGTCGGTGTGCTGTTTGCTGCTGAGCAGGTAGTTGTACAGTGGGATTTTCTAGCCTTTTCTCTGCAGGCAGCTGCCTGTTGCAGAGGTTGATGAGAACACTGAGACTGAATAAATGGTCCGATGACTGAACCTTTGCTTATCTTTCACATTTTTAACACTTTGTCATCTTTTGAATACGTCATAGATAGATCAATTTTTGCAGAGAGACTCTCATATTTTTGTTCATGGGACTGTTTACCTTGGCTATATGCACTTTAATCTACTTCCTTAGAAGCCAAAATTCAAGTGTGCAAACCTTTTCAAATTATTATGAAACACCAGCATATATACATTCTAACATTAGTGCTTTGTACTGATGTTGCAAAGTGGTGCTAACATTATACTTCCATGTTCACCTCAGAAATATACTTTGGGAAAATGAAACAAAAATACAACATTTCATCATTCAATATCTCAACAGCTATCCTTCAAACTTTATAGCTGCTTGACATTTATTGTTATCTACAATTTTGTAAGAAAAGACAACCCTTTACTTCTCAAAAAGGTGGCCATTTTTGGAACCAAACATCTCCTGTGATCTTGAAGCATTTGTGCAGATAAGGATGACCCAATCTCCTTTACCATCCCTTTTCATCCCCCCTTGTTCTTATCATCATTGCATCGCTGCCTGTGTCTCATCTGCCTCCTCTCCACCTTCAGCAATTCACCCTATCCCGCTTCCATCTCCATCTCTTCTACATGCTTATCTTCAAAACACCCATCTTCAACATCAACACATCTCTCATTATCCCCTCCTTTCTTTGTATCTGCTGCTTTTATCAAGCTGATTTTGTGTTTCAGTGAGACTTTCCATGAGACCTGTGTGTGCTGGGTGCTTTTCTTCCTCCTCTCTGCAGGCCTGGACTGCCCCCGAGTGGAGAAAAACTGCCAAAACATTATCCATGTTTCTGTCCCTGCACTCTCTGGGTGGAACTGACACCTAGTGAGCTTTGAGGTATTTTGAGGACACATGAAGATCTTATCTTCAGAAATCCATCTATGCAAGGTAGAAATCAAAGAAGGGGAAGAGTATATAAAAGAACTACAGATGTACTATACTATCCCACTGTATAAAATGCACTATAATAATTTATACATGCTACTGTGTTCTGTTGTATTTTGTTATCTCATATTTATGTGTGTTAACATGTCTGAATTAGGGTTGGCAAGAATCTGGCAATACAATAGGTATCACAATACAGGGGTTGTTCAATACATTGCAATATTAGGGTGTAAGAAAATATCAGAAAAATATGGTATTGCCATTTTTTGTTTTGTGATATTGTATTGATTCTCAAAAACCTGTATTGATTTTTGTGACTGAACCCCTAACTGCCAGATAGCAGTGTTATGAATGTAAACTGAGAGCTATATGTTGAATGTTTGCTCAGATTTTGTGCATATTGTGGACAGTTTTCCTAAAATTAGATTAAATTTAATCCCAATATATGGCCTTTCTTATAATCTCACAATATATGGAATCATAACTCCTGTATTGTGATATGTATCGTATCGCTAGACTCTTGCCAATGCACAGCTTTATGCGATATATTGCAATACTGTAAGCAAGGCCATATATTGCAATTTTATTACGTCAAATTGTCACGGTATAAAGAACACACCACTATATGCATAATAAAAAGTTAACTGTTATATGTCTTATGTTATGTTTTACATTAATCACAGTCCATGCAACATCCAACATCATAGCCTCAGCTTTGTTTACTATTATCTAGCGGTTAGGGGTTTAAACACAACACAAAAATCAATATTGTTGTTTATGTTTAATAATGTATTCGAGAATCAATACAATATCACAAGTATCAATGTTTTCTTACACCCCTAGTCACAGCGGCGCACTAGTAAGATCTTTAATTTGGACCTTTTGCATGGACATCTCTGGACTAAAGAGATGAAACTTTATTCTGATTTGAAAATACATACACAAAATACAATACACCTACCAAACTCATACAGGCAGATTTCTGCTTTGCCCACAGACAGAACAAACACCAATTTGTGTTTTTAAATGTATCAAAGTAACAGCACCTTCACAGCTAACATGTCTGCTTTAGGCTTAAAAAAAGACTACTGAGTATACAGTATATAGTGTACAGTGTTTTTGAGTTCTTGTCCCCCGTGTTGAATGTCATTAAAGAGATGAAATCACTGAGAGCTGCTTCCCATCTGCTTGCCACCATATGTTATTTTATTTTATTGTCCACAACCATTTGGGGACCCCCGGAAATTATATTAATTATAGTTGAATATTGATCATCTCTGATCAATATTCACAGGAAATAATCTGCTCAAAATTCATCCAAATCTTTGGATACACAAAGTTCCTGTAGTTATTGTGTTCACTGTTAGGATTCATTGTACTGTTCTCTGCTGTAATTGTTATACACTGAATATTCATATTTCAATTTAGTCTTTACATCACCCATTTGTCCTCTTTTTTTATGTCAAAGCAGCTCTTGTTGAAGATTCACAAAGCCAGTCTCTAAATGATTTGCTCAGTAGAGACTGAGGTCTTTGTTCCAGCTTTTGTTGCTAAAACTGGGTGGAAACAATTATAGTTAAAAAAACACTGCATTACAGAACCAGTCCAAACTCTTAAGGGCGGTGACATGCAGAAGTTGTGTGATGGTAAACACTGTCATACTAAATAAAGTTGCTCGGGACATCCATTTTCAGTGTTTTAAAAAGCTCCGTGAAACAATGTGATTTTCTATATCTCCAGTTTGTTTCACTACTGAGGAAATTGGTGAAGACCATTGTTTCAGGTAAAGCGTGTCCTTGAAGTAAGGGGTGAATATGTGTTAGTGGCTGTTCTTGTTGCCCTTCAAGCAACTACTTTGCATTAAGACCTCTGATCACATGGTATCACAAGACTACTCGGTTCCTGTCGTTGAGGATATATATTCCTGATAGAGTTGTTCCAATAGTTTATTGGGAAAAAAAGGAAGTACAACAATGACAGCAGGCTTAGTAGTATATACACATGTTAAAAAAATAACATTTATTTTTTAACACACATGTATCAGATCAGTACTCTCTATTGGTTGATAAGCAAAGTTCAGGTATCAGAATCATGAAGGAAAAAAGGGTATCGGACATCTCTAATTCCTGAGCAGCACAAATGACTTCCAGCTTAATTTCCAGAGCACAATACAACGTTACCGACAGCTGGCATAATGGGATGGATTACGCTTTATACAGCAAATAGCAGTCATTTATGCCTCGATCAGCACCGACACAGATCCAGCAGATGGGTTCTCCATGCCCCTGGGGGTGACAAGCATATCCTGCCAACAAACTGTGCCTATCCCAAAAAAAACCCAGCATGGGCACGAAACATCACCCAACCCATTGCCTAGTTGCACATGGCCAAAAAAGACCACAGTTGGAAATACAAGTATTCTTAGCTGGAAATGGATTGGCTAAGACCTCAAATCAGCCTGAAATCTGATGGTGTCTCAAAAACACTTTATATAAAGTAAATAGAATTCCAAGCTGCTTTAAACACCAGCTAACTGGAGTTATTCTAATCCTGAACTGATTTTGCTTAGTCCCGATTTACAAGATCAGGCTGACTAGTCTCAGCAACTGAGATACAATATGTATAATTCATATACTCCTTTGGAAAGGCCTCTACCTTGACACTGGATTTGATTATCTGATAAGTCTAAAGTTTAAATTGGCTGTGAAGTTTGAAAAAGTTGAAAGTTGTCTAAAAAGTTCTCAGACTGCCACCAGCCCAACACTGGATTCAGCGACCCATAGAGAACCATGGATAGCTGGAACACGTCTTTCTGTTCTGTATGATTCTTGGAAACCAGTCCAATAAAAAGGCCCTGACATGCAGGCCTCTGTGTCTAATGAGTTGCCTCTCTGCTGTCAGCTACAGCTACATGTTTTAGGCTCGGTTCAGAGTTGTTTAAGAAACACCTTCCAAATCCCTGATACCAATAAAATCTGACCAAACCTTAATCAAAACCAAAGTCCAGCTGCTGATGGATTAAAACCATCTCTCTCGAACATGAAAGGTTCCATCGCCTCAAGCTGCACAAATCGCAAACAAATGTGACAAGTAAATTGGATCTGGTCGGAGCAGTGGAGACAGTTCCGCCATTTCTGGTAAGTCCAGCTTTCTCTGGAAGGATATCTTTCTTTCTGCTGTTATAAGACTATTTACTATGTCACTCTGTAGTTTGGATCCATACTTTGTGTGTTTAAATGAGTTGCAGTAACCACCCTGATACAAAACATACTGGGCTCTGTTCGTTTTTCTGATAAGACCGTTGTATTTTTACATATAGATCTTGTGTAGCACAACTTAAAGTAAAGCTTTTGACACTTGGTGCACTTTGACACCAAGAGTTAATCAGGGGATTATTGATTCCTGAAGTTGACATTTATATAGTAAAATTGTTAGTCATATTATGCCATAAATTTCAAATAATTTCATTTTTCGAAATACTGACTATGTCTCACATAACAGCTGAACAGATACTCGTAAATGCCAGTTGCTAGTAAAGTTTGGGCTTCCCTGTACTCTGTAAATTCAGTATAAAATGCATTTTCACAGCCCAGATTCCATGATTACAACAATGGATTCCAGTCTTACTCTGCCGCAGAAATACAGTTTTCACCATCACCATCAATTACTGTTAAGTTACTGTCAGTGGTATTCTGGTGCACTGATGGAAAGAGTGCTGTGGAAATGTACATTACTGAAATATGATCAGTATGATCAGATCAAACATACCTAAACAAGACTGAGGGTCTACAGCTATGCTAGCAGCTCTGTGAGGCTTTACTGAGGCTTTACTGAGGCACAGTGGTTGTGCTAACACACATGTTCACCATCGTGACAAGTGTTGTATGCATGCTAACATTTGCCATTCAACACTGGACATAAAGTACAGCTGAGGCTGGTAGGAGCATGATTAGTTTTGCAGGTATATACCAAAGTTTTGGACAAATTGAAATTTTGAAAAGGCTTGTCTTGATGAAAAGACTTTGAAATGAAAAGACATTTTTATGAAAAAATCAGAAAAGGAAAAGTTGGTTTCCAGTGGAAACAAATGACAGCAGGTTTTTGCGTGGGAACCAAAATGGGCATGTCTATAGGTCGTTGTGCATTGTACAGCAGACTCTGCTGATGATGCATCCACTCAAAACTGGTTGCTGGTTTGCTAGATAGCACCAGGGTTCCAAGAATCTTGAACGGAACCAGTTCAAGAACCAGAACTAATATGTTTCAGCTGGTTCTGAGGGCCTAAATGAAACAGCACCTTAATTAGTGTCATTGGTGTCAAAGGTTACCCTACTATTTCATCTCAAAATGGTTGCTGTGAAAAGGGTCCTTCATTCCGAGGAGAACATGGATGTATGTAACAAATGTCATGTCACTCCATCCTTGTCCTGACCAACGAGAATTCATCTGAAAACCTTGAATGAGTTGTCTTATTTGATCAAAAACTACAAACTTGTATCATATATGGAGCCAAAATCGACGTAGATACAGTGATCTCATGTCTATCTGTGTTCAGAGCTACACAGAGGCAGAGTGGTAGCTGAAATACATGGATGTCTCACCTGTTTGAGGGCCTCCTGTTTGCTCTTGCTGAGCTCCTCATATTTAAGTTTCCACTGACTGAGTTCAGCCTCCAGCCTCTCAATGCTCTTACTTAGTGCAAGCTTGTCTCTAGGGAAGGCACAAAGACACAACACACATTAGTGATTTTCAACACTCATACTGCTCTGGTATGGAGGACTAAAAGTGCCAAAATTAAATAAATAAATAAATACACCATTAAATAATTACTTATATGTATTAATGTCTCATTAATAATTAAAATTGGAATTGAATACATAAATGTGTTATTAAAGGTGTCATTAATTCATTAAAATATCGATTCATTTTATGTAAAAAACATATATAATTATTTCACTATTTAATTAATTATTTTAACTGTGTTGCAGTGCTTCATGAATTTATTTTATCTGTCAAGATTATTATTATTATTATTATTATTATTTTTTAAATATATTTTTTGGGCTTTTATTGCCTTTATTATAGTTGACAGCTGAAGATAGACAGGAAAGGGGGGCAGAGAGAGAGGGGATGACACGCAGCAAAGGGCCACAGATCAGATTCGAACCCTGGGCCGCTGCAGCAATGACTCGGCCTCGGTACATGGGTCGCCAGCTCTACCCACTGAGCTATCCGGGCGCCCCTGTCAAGGTTATTATTACTGTTACTATTACTATTACTATTCACCTCTACGTTGGTTTAGATACTCTTAAACAAAACCTTTATTGCAACGGCTAAAAATCAAGGGGAAGAGGGTTAGAACTGCACTTGGTATGTCAAAATGCCCCGGTCCCTGTGTGTGTTGGCCCTGATACCAGAGAAGCGGTGGACTACTTCTTCTAAATCTGCAGTCACTCTGTGGTCAATATCTTGGTCGGAAAGTGCGGAAATAACTCCAAGAACTTCAATAGGTTCCTCTGCTGTACTCGCTACATGCTCTGGGTCAGCAGGTCCTGCTTCCACATCCTCTGCTAAGTCTAAAATGTCTCTCACCAACTCCCTAGAAAGTTCATGAAGATCCTCCATCGTCTCTATCCAGGCACTATACTTCAGACCAAAGCAATAACTTTGATGGGCGAGTTTGACAGATAAAATAAATTAATAAACTCAATAAAATAAAATAAAACTCAATTTTATTTGGCAAAGTGGTCAGGCCTGGTGAAAAATTTGATATTCTATGTGTCGCTTTACCCATGTCTTCCTTAGGAATCATGCACAATTTCAGGCCATCACCACAAGGTGGCGCTCTTTAAAATGAAGAAGTTTATATCTCCGCATCGGCAAGTGTCATTAAAATGAAACTTGGTACGATGCTTGCCCATGGCTCCCTGAGGCTCGCTAATAAATGTGTCAACAATCCACCACTAGGTGGCGCTCTGGTGGCATCGTAATAGTTATGAATATGAAATTCACAGGACACGTGTAGACTGGTGCTTGTAGCTCACGTACCAAAAATCGTGTTTGTTGTGTTTGTAGCGCCCCCTACAGGATTTTAAAAAAGCAGCCCCGGCGCCACGTTTCACCGATATGTACGGAACTTGGTAGGCACGTGTAACTTGCTGAGATGTACAAAAAAGCCTCTTGGACCCATACCCCAAACCCCACGGGAAGTCGGCCATTTTGATTTTCATTTACACTTTCTGCAAACTTTTCGCGTTGTATTTGAACAAACTCCTCCTAGGGAATTTATCGGATCTACTTCAAAATTTGTCAGTACAGTCAAAAAATGGTGCTGATTAAAAGTTGTGCTATTTGTGCATGTAGGTTAAACGGTGTGTCCGTGGCGTGGCATCAAAGTCAGCCATTTTGAATTCCGTGCTAATTTTCTGTGATTTTTCACCTTGTATTTGAACGAACTCCTCCTAGGGAATTTATCGGATCAACTTCAAATTTAATCAGCGCAATCTAAAGACATTCATGATTAAAAGTTGTGCTATTTACGACATTCCGTCAAATGGCGTGCCCGTGGCGTTGCTTTGAATTTCAACCATTCACCATGAACAGATAGTACTCAACTTCAGTGTACAATGTCCAATCTCCACTAAACTTCACTTGTCTGACAAGAGTCCCGCCCTGAACACATCTACATGACAATATTCAGACATAGTGATAGCACCACCTAGTGGTGAAAGGAAATATATATTTTTTCTTTTATATATATCTCCCAGCAGATTGCCCAGATCCAGCTGAAATTCTTTCAGCAGTCCCTTAGGACGATGACAAAGACATGTCATGAATGTTAAGAATTTTTGTCGAACCTTGTTGCCATGGCGCTGGGGGTTTTTGCCCAGCGCCATGGCAACAAGGTTCGACTTAAAATTCTTTTCTGTTAACATTTGAACACCTTTTGGGGGTCTAAACATGGCCAAACATTCATGAAATTTTTGCACAAAATTCAGTCGTGGCCAACGCTAAGGTATTGTCTTGGTCTCGCGGATGGGCGTGGCATAATGGATTAGACACACCGCCCCAGAATCAGCCCTCAAGACACGTAAGACCGACATGTATGAAAATTGGTACACGTGTATCATGATGGGACAAGCAAAAAAGCCTCTTGGACCCATAACCCAAACCCAACAGGAAGTCGGCCATTTTGATTTTGATTTTCACTTTTTTAAAATCACGTGACGCGACCGCAGCACGCCGAGTTGCGTAGAGTGCGAGGTCCCGCTCAACGCTGCTTGCACGCCTCATTATTCTTAGACCTTTTGACTGCATTTTTGACCCCTGAACATATAAAAAAGGTCTATTTTATTTGGCAAATTTGTCGGGCCTGGTGCAATCTTGGATATTCTTTATGTCGCTTCCAGGTCGGCCACTAGGAAGGCTACTAGGTGACGCTACTTTTAGACAAAGTTTGATAGGCTAATAACTCCTGCATCATTTGTCTCACATTCGAGAACCTTTTATCCATGCATTTGGTGAATGGAGCTGAATCTCCCTATATAGGTCCCGCCCACTTCCGCCTCGAAATGTTGAAAAACTACGCTTTCATGTTTCATCCAAGCCTTTTATCCGATTTGCACGAAACTTTGTACGTAGCATCTGGAGACTGTCCTGGCAAAAAAAGTAATTTAAAGTATTTTGATATTTCAAAGAATAAGCATGTTTTAAAATTAGCACTTCCTGTTGATTTTTCGTCAAAAAAGGAAGTGGGGCTTTTCTCCACATTGGTATGTCCGATTGACACCAACCTTGGGTCAATAGTTCCTTATGTCTTCATTAGGCACCGTGCACAATTTCAGGTCATTGCCACAAGGTGGCGCTGTTTAAAATGAAGAAGTTTATATCTCCGCATCGGCAAGTGTGATTAAAACGAAACTTGGTACGATGATTGCCCATGGCTCCCTGAGGCTCCCCTAAAAAGGAAAAAAAATCAGCTCTGGTGGCTGGGTAAATCACTCTCCGGAGACCGTAATAGTTATGAATATGAAATTCACAGGACATGTGTAGACTGGTGCCTGTAAGTCACATACCAAAAATCATGTTTGTCATGTTTGTAGCGCCCCGTACAGGATTTTTAAAAAGCAGCCCCGGCGCCACGTTTCACCGATATGTATGAAACTCGGTAGGCATGTGTAACGTGCCGAGACGTACAAAGAACCCTTTTGGACCCATGCCCCAAAACTCACAGGAAGTCGGCTATTTTCATTTTAATTTTCACTGTCGTCGGCCATTTTGTGATCATTTTCACTTTTTGGGCTTGTATTTGAAGGAACTCCTCCTAGGGAATTTATCTGATCTGCTTTAAATTTGGTCAGTACAGTGAAAACATGGTGCTGACTGAACGCTGTGCTTTTTGTGACTGTACGTTGAAGGCCGTGTCCGTGGTGTGCCGTCAAAGTTGGCCACTGTGATGCCATTTCCGGCATTTCAGGACTTCTATTTTAACTAACTCCTACAGATTTTATCATATTGACTTCATATTCCATCACTGCAATCTATACACATTGGTGATCATAAGTTAATCAAATATTTACTGTCCGTCAAACTGTGTGTCCGTGGCATGGTGCTGAATTTCCACCTTTCGCAGTGAAAACGATGAAAGTGTCATTTGCAGTGTCTGAAACGTGTGACAACGTAGAGTGGTCTCCTTCAGCTTCTGGCGATGAGGGCTTGGGAGTGGGGTGACGTGAAAATGTCATGTTGTGGTCCGCACGTGTTACGATGGCACGTGACGTGGCCGCAGCACGCCCGAGTTGCGTGGAGTGCGAGGTCCCGCCCAACGCTGCTTGCAGCTTTAAGTATATATGTTTTTTACATAAAACGAATTGGTATTTTAATGAATTAATGACACATTTAAGTAATTATTTAATGATGTATTTAATTATTTAATTTTGGCACTTTTAGTCCTCCATACTCCGGTGCCTGAGTGGGTTATTATCTGAGTCAGCAAATTTCCACCGGGAGTTTATGAATTTAACAGGGGCCTGTTATGTTTTTCTTAATTTCTGTCATATATATATATATAATGTTACAATGTTGGATGTTGATATTAAACAAGGCCAAAGTAACAAATAATGAGGCAAACGTATGTAAAAGTAATCCCTGTGAGGATTTTTTTATATGATTATCTGCTCCAGGCCTAGCACAGCTGAGCATGCCGACGAAGTACAGGGACCCATTCAGTCTGTCAGGTCAGTTATCTGACTGACCACTTAGGAGTCAGGACAAACCATCAAAATGCTTTTGCAGATAGGATTAACTATAGGGGCTGAATGAAGGATCAGTATGAGGTAAATAAGTATGCTTTTGAGGAGTGAATCATGCAAAGCTACTCTTGTGGAGTCTAAGACTAAGAATATAGAGCTGAAAATGAGCATGTTAGGTCCACTTCAAAAAAAGTTGGACTGACTGAATTCAACAGTTACATCACAATTCATGTCTCTGCTCCAGTTTCCCTTACTCTCTCTCTTTCAGCAGGACTTTCTGGGACTCATCCAGGCGAAGCTGCAGGGCGTTGAGTTTGCTGGAGTCCTCCTCCACCGTGCTAATGTCCTCCCACAGCTGCCGGCTGCGTTCCTGCCTGCTCAGACCGGAGGATGAGCGTGAGTTGGCCAGGTTGCCACTGCCACGACTTTCCCAGTCCTCTGGGTCGCCTTCAGGGGCTCTGGAACGAAGGACCGACTCCAGCACCTCCAAGTCCTGGCAGAGAAAATGAGACCAGTATATCGGTTTGTTGATATAAAGGGAATACTGATGTATTACTGAAACTCAGATATCACAGCGACATCACTATAACAAGAAACATGAGCTTTTGGCAAGTACAATGTTATCATAGCTGATAATGACAGCCAATAATTGAAAAAATTGAATTATTCTTTAATTCAAACCGATACTACAGGGAAATAGTCCCATAATGGCAGATAAAGTGGTTATATGAAAAAAATAGAGTAAATGAAAGAAAGGTAGATTCACTTTCAATGGGAAAAAGTCAGGATGCATGGGGCAAAAATAAATATATGGATAAATAATAATATAATAATAAATAAAATGAGGGCAGTGCAACTAATATTAGTAATCAAAGCCAATCAGAATTCACATTACATCCACAGACATGCAACACATAAGACGTGACCACATTTTAATAGCTTGTTCACAATAATTTGGTCAAATGGTGGGTACCACAGTTTTTTTTTATTTCACAATATTGATTCATATAATGAAAGAGGTTTCTAGAAAGCCTACTGAGGACATCTTATGGATAACATGGTCATAAGATGGTGAGGATAGTTATATAGTTTCAACAATGCAAATTCACATGTCAAAGTTGAACTCGTCACAGAATAATTTGAAAGTGGCGGTTTAGCTTAGCTCCCCTGTGAGTGATTCCATCAAAATGAACTGATTTTGCCACAAAATGTCACCGTTCTAAAAGCTGGTGTGGCCGTGCCTTTGTTGCTGTTCTAGAGTCTTCTCAAAGGTTTTCCAGCAGATTTGCTAATAAATACATACAGTGAATGTAAATATCACGTAATCCCACTTGTGTTGTGAATTGCAGCAATATGATGTTCTCTGTGAGGCTCTAAAGGTGAGGTTCTTGCTCTTGTCCGTGTGTAATAGCAGTTTGTGATTACATGTCCCTGGAATAACACGTTCATTCTTTAAACATTCAATAACTCCTTACAAAACATCAGCAGGGATAAAGGCTTCCTTTCAGTTTCAGTTGGGGCAAATAAAATATCTGTCTCATTCCGAACTAGCCACATCTCTTGTGGGCCTCTTCTGCAACTATATTTCGCTCTTCTGTCCACACTGTTTTCCGCTCCACCCTCTGTGCCTCCCTGCAGAGGCTGCAAATCAAACTGTTTCATCCGGAGGATCATCTAAGGTTCCTGCCAATGTGCTGTTATAGCAGAGCCCTGATACTAATGGGTGGGTTCTCATGACCAAACATTTTCACATCTCATTTTATTTAATGGCCTTAACAGAACATTAAATTGGAAATGTAGAACTTTTCCTCTTCTCCAAGTAGTAAATATGTCTGCTTTGGCACTACAACAGTAAAAATCCAAATGTTTCCCCGCCCTATATCTTTTACAGCATCTGCCAGATGTAAAATGTGAGGTCTCTGTCTCCCACAGGCTCCATAACGCTGTGTGGTTCTTTAAGATAATCATCATGTTGCCTTTAAGAGGTCCTCGTAAATATCTAATTCTGTGACTGAGAGCTGTAAAGATATCCTTGGTTGAAAACATAATGGCCCTATGAGAGAATTTTATTTAGTGTGAGTTGTTTGAAATAAAGCAGCACAGAGCTCCTTTGTGCTGCAGTGACAGGATGCTGATAGAAGTGCACATCAGATATTTAATATTTTGGTGCATTTCAACATGCATTGTGTTGTTATGATGGATAACAAGACGAAGAGTCTACAGCCATGCTAGCGGATGCTCAGCTACGCAAACATGCTGATATTTGGCAAGTATGATGTTTACTGGGGATGAGTGAGTACACCATTATCTGTATCTGTTCAAACAATTAGATTATCTGTATTTGCATCTATACTCAAAATAGACAGGGCTTAAAGCAGAAACTTTTTCTATCAAATTCTTAATCATTCATTCTTGTAATTGGTATTAAATGCAAATTCAAACATTAAGTTGTTTCAGCAACTCTGTGTCTAAGTGCATTTTACCTGCCAACATTTAAATCTGTTTGAACACATGGTTTCAACTGATTTCCACATTTATACTACATTTATGACATTTTTTGGCAATAAACATGTCAAATTTTAACCAATGTAGCCCAGAATGGACAAACCAAACACTGGCAGGACCTTTCACATTTTTCTCCCCATTGTAGTTTCTACTACACGCTTGGAAGGGGAGGGTTGGAATCTGCAACTACACCTCCTTAGATCCTTAGTTACAAATCAATAATAAACACACAATTGTGTGGTTGTGTTTGAAATGCATTGAGGTCAACCTACAAATGAGGCTGTTTTTTCCCATTTCTGAGAAACTGAATTTTAGGACATACAACTGACTGATGAAAAGCATGTAACATCCTTCCGAGGTTGAGGTGTGTTTAACAGAAAACAGAGCTGTGATGCTGCTGCTGTCATTACTGCTCATCCCCAACAGAGGGACCCAGTGTGTAACAGATGTCAGTAAGTTGAACCGTACTGTGCCACATGTGGAAGTACTCAGTGTGTGTGAGAATCAGAACAATGGAAGGAGACAGGAAATGAGGCTGTGCTGTGTGTGAGCACCAGTTAGCCGCCGTTCCATGACTACCACTGCTGTCACCACTGACAGACATATTATCAAGGTTTACTTGGAATGCTACAGCCTCAAAGTGTATTTCTGTGTGTGTGTGTGTGTGTGTGTGTGTGTGTGCGCGCGTGTGTTACCATGGAAACCCCGCCAGAGCTAGCTGAAGGTCAATTCTGATAGGCAAGGACAGTGATCTTTACTCACTGCTGCTTTGACACAAACACTTTCATTATGAGGTTACAGTTAATGCACACATATGTATGTGTGTATGTATTCGTGCGTGTGTGTGTAGTATACAACTGCCAAGAAACATAGGGACACACCACAGCTATATACACATGCTGGGAGCCCCGTAAGATCCAGTGTAACTGCTGGTCAAAGCAGTGTTATTAAAGTGCTACTGTTAGTGTGACTGCTGCTTCTATAATTTCTGACACAATGTATAGTGAGTATAGTGTGGTGTTTTGTTTTGCCTCTGTTCTATGTGCCTTGTTCCAGGTACCGCCCTCCCCTCCGACTGGTCAGGCGCACCTGCATTAGTTTAGCAATCATTCCAACGGATTTAAAACAAGGACAGAAGAAGCAGACGAGGCCAGTGGGCCAAACCGCCAGATAGCTATGTGCTGCTGTACGTTGTGTGTGCGTGTGCATGTGCGCGTGCGTGTGCGCTACTGGAACGTCCTGGAGTGGCCTTCTCAGACACCATATTTAAATCCGATTCAAAATCTTTGGTGGGATATAAAGTAGTAGTAGTACGTAAGTAAAAATATGTACTTGACTCTGTAAATCTGATACTTAAAGCTGCTCTAGGTAATACAACAAAAACTTTTTGTCATGTTGTCTGAATCTTTCACTATATCCTGACAGTACATTAGACTGATAATCTCTGAAAAAATCTGGTTCCTCTGGCTCCTCCTAATGCTCCTAATGGCATTTGCAAGAATCCACCTGGCCTGAACGAAAACAACCAATGGGACTCTCAACTCTCTCAACTACCTTTAGGCCACCAACCCAAAGTGTATCTTTCTTGGCTCTGATTGGTTGTTCTCATTCAGGCCTGGTGGATTCTTATAAATCTGAAAAAAAATCTGTGGACCTTTTCCTTAACATACTAAATATAGTCCTTAGTCAATGATTTTCCAGAACATTTTCAACTACTAAAGCCCGTCTTTTTCATGACAACAGATGTTAAAATGAGATCAGTGAAAATGTTGCAGAACAAGAAAATGGCATTGTTATTTCGTTTCAATCTGTGTGTACAGTTGTGCTCGTAAATTTACATACCCCTGGCCATTTTTTGTAAAATATGACTGATCGTCACACACGTTTAAATGATTTTCGTAGCTCTTGAGAGCACATCCCTGCACATTTTATGTAAGGCTGCACTGAATTTGCTGGACACTGAGCCATGGGGAAAGCAAAAGAACTGTCAAAAGACCTCAGACAAAAGGTAGTTGAACTTTATAAATCTGGAAAAGTATATAAAAAGATCTCCAAAGATTTGAAAATGGCAATTGGTAGTGTTCAAACTCTGATAAAGAAGTGGAAAAGTAGGGGTTCTGTTGACACCAAGACATGTCCAGGTAGACCAACGAAGATTTCAGCCACAACTGTAAGAAAGATTTGTAGGGATGCAAAGAAAAACACACAAGCAACTTCTGCTGAAATACAGGCTTCTCTGGAAAAAATTGGTGTGGCTGTTTCAAGATAGAAGGTACTTGAACAAAAATGGGCTGCATGATAGAGTCGCCAGAAAAAAGCCTTTACTGCACCAACGCCACAAAACAGCCCACTTGCAATATGCCAAACAGCACCTAGACAAGCCTCAAAACCTCTGGAAGAAAGTCATTTGGAGTGATGAAACCAAAATTGAACTTGAAATGTTTGGAGAGGAGTCAACAAGGCCTATGATGAACACACCATCACTACTGCGAAGCATGGAGGTGGATGTTTTTATTTTTTTGTGTTTTTTTGGGGGGGGGTGAGCTACAGCGGCACAGGACATTTAGTTAAAATTTATGAAAATATGAATGCAGCATGTTATCAGAAAACATTGGAGGACATTTTGCATTCATCAGCCTGAAAGCTGCGCATGGGACACAGTTGGACTATTTAACATGACAATGATCCTAAACACAAGGCCAAGACAACCCTCCAGTGGCTCCAGCAGAAGAAAGTGAAGGTTCTGGAGTGGCCATCACAGTCTCCTGACCTCAGTATCATTGAGCCACTTTGTGGAGATCTCAAACGTGCAGTTCATGCAAGACAACCCAAGAATTTACAGGACCTGGAAGCTTTTTGCCAAGAAGAATGGGCAAAATAAAGGGCCTCATCCACAACTATCACAAAAGACTGCAAGCTGTCACTGATCCTAAAGGGGGCAACACACATTATTAAGATGTCAGGGTATGCAGACTTTTGAACGGGGAGCATCTCAGTATTTTCTTTATTGCTGTGTTTTGTTTAATGATTGGGCTATTCTGTGATGCCTTATAGTTTAATTTGAAGTCCACTAAAAATAAATGTTGGCTTGGTCACTCATGTTTTCTTTATAGAATGGTACACATTTTACAAATTCTGCCAGGGGTATGTAAATTTATGAGCACAACTGTATTCAGCACCTCATTTACTAAGACAGCAACTCATTATGCAGTCAGCTCTGGGACTGATCTTCGTACTGCCCTCCAGGACAGGTAAGTGAAGGAGAGCTCAGCAGTGGAAGATCAGAGAAGGAATAATAATAATACATTATTTACTTTACTTGCGGCCCAACTTCACCAGAGAAAAACTGTTAACACATTACTCATAAAATTATGACATTGTAATCTTTAGCATGTATCGAATTATGAATACATTAAGAGGAAATAAACACTTCAGAGAGAGAGAGAGTTTGGAGATGGAGATGATGGTGTTTTGGATGTTAACACTTGGGGAAAAGCAGCCAAATACACACTTAAATGCCAAAAACAAAGCTCTCAACGGCAGACTGTCTCCGTACTGTTTGAAATGATTCTAACATAGGTGGTAAAAGAGGTTAGTGGTGTTTGAGACTATTGTGGAAACTGGTCTGCAGTATTATTTGTAAAGCATGGTTTTCTGGTCTGTGTCAGCTAAGGTGGGAAGTAACAAGGTATAAATACTTAAGTCGTTTTTTCAGGTATCTGTACTTATATAGTAGTATTTATTTTTTACTTTTATTCCCGACATTTTTACACAAACATCTGCATTTTCTACTCACATTTTTTCAACACAGGCCTTAATTTAGTTTTTAATGCATTTGAGGGGAATTAGCGATTATTTTTATTTTGCATCATTGCCCGCCTTCCCAAGATCCAGACATATCACATGTGACAGACGTAACAAGAAGAAAATGACGTAAAAGACTAAACAGACAGAGAGAGAGATTCGACCCTGTTTGAAGTTTCAGTTATCTTTGTACAGAAACAGCTGGTAGAAAAGTCCTTCAGAGAAACCAGAGAGAAATCAGTACTCTTTACTTTTATACTTTGACTTCATTTCAGAGCCTGTTCTTCTTCACTTTTACTTGAGTAAAGAAGTTGAATCAGTACTTCCACTTTTACCAAATTTACTGCCAACATCCATGCTGTGCAGATGAGTTCAAAGAGTTGTCCAAATTATGAAAAATATTGTTGCAGACTAGAGTGGGTCATTTGATTTCTATTGTCACACGGTACATATTGTCACATATGTTCAGTTTATCAAACTGGATAAAAAGTCAATGTATGACAGCTTCTGGCAGACAACCACAACGCTGATGCAGGCACAAAGGGGATATGACGCCATTAACAGGAGACAGGTGAAACGCAGTGTTACCTGAATAAAATGAGAGATTTCTCTGGGTTTGAATATTTTGGGAAACATTTGGGATAATGGAAGTACACAACTCAACTACATATAGAACATAGAGCTAGACTTTATAGACATTTGAATGCACAAGTGTTACTTACATATTTTGGCTTTGACAAATGAATAGAAATTACGTGACATGTTGAGAAAGGCTATGTTGTAGGGTTGGACTATCAGTAATTTGACTTCCAGAAGTCCCTGTTTCACTTTGGCTCGCTACCTCCTCAGTACTAAATGGCCTCCACAGAGCATTTCAAAGTGGCTGGAGGCTGAGCTATGATGGTACTTAATGCTAACATCACATAGCTTGAATTCCTGTATCTGTGTGTGTAAAAAAGGTTCAGGTTTAGGATGGTCTGCACAAACCAGGCTGACAGAGAGAAGAAGTACTGCAGCATTACAGAGCCCTCAGGGATAAGCAAGTATCATGAGAGAGAGAGAGAGAGAGAGAGAGAGAGAGAGAGAGAGAGAGAGAGAGAGAGAGAGAGAGAGAGAGAGAGAGAGAGTGTGTGTGTGTGTGTGTGTGTGTGTGTGTGTGTGTGTGTGTGTGTGTGTGTGTGTCTGGGTACCCACACTGCTAGTGTCTCTTAAATAGAATAAACCCCCCCAAACACACACACCTTGGGTGAGTGATGTAGGCCTAGAGACACCGCAGTCAGTGTGGCCTACATTCACTGGGGCTCAGGTCATATTGTCCATTAAGCAGCAGAGGACATCAGCACACTGATATCACTGCATTTCATATCTACATGACCGGGTCTATCATCAGGCTGCTGTCCTGAATGAGCACCCAGAGAACAATCAGACCCCCTTTCATATTCAAAGACACAACAGATGTGAGTTTTTAACTAGTTTGCATACAAATAATTAGTCAGCAGCACAGAACACAACCCCATGCAAATTTACATACCAACATACAAACCAAAAAGTACAAAGGCAGCTGAAACTGCTACTTATAGCATTACAGCAGCAATGTGCGGGGCTTAGCCATTTAGAAAAGTTAGGTTTAGGAAAATACTAAAAGATTTCCTTCTATATTTACAGCACAGCTGCCAGCAAGTTGCTGTATTTAGATTTACAATAAACTACTGGAACTGTGCTGAAACGCAATGTACAGTGTATAGAGTAATACTATATTACTACAACAGTATTTTACTGTATTTAAACTGTATATTGTAATTTGTTCTATTTCTGCTGTATTATATTATATTGTACTGTAATATATCCTGTTATATGAATATTGATATATTACTGCTAATTATAATAATTACTAATACTTATTATTAATATTATTACTACTAATAATTATATAATCTTCAGTTACTACTATTGTAATATTACTATATTAAATGTAATGTAAAATATTCACGCTTTATAAAAATTACCCACAATGCAATATAAGTAATAAATAAATGGGGCATTGTACGGTAGGTTTTTGCAGTACGGTGCTTAGTAAATGGTAAATGGACCTGTACTTTTATGGCGCCTTTCTAAGTACATCCATGCATTCCACCACCTCCATATGCAGACTTTCTCACTCTTTATACTACATCACCTGACTTTGACGGCAGCCACATCCAGAACTAGCGGCAGAGGCATACCTGTAGTGTCATATTTTGAAGCAGAGGGCCACTGACCTAGCTGCTGTATTTGACAACTTAGGAGTGAGGCCGGGTTGAATAAGAGAAATCTCTACTGAGGGCAAAAAATGCACTTTACCCAGACCCATCTGCATTGTGAATGAAAACATGTATTCTAATCCCAACGTACAGTGCAGACTCACCTTTTGCTGAGCCATCTTTTGTCCGTCCAAGTCCACGTCCCTCACTGGTTCTGGCTCCGGAGACCCCGGTGGGCCCTCCCCAACCCTGTCCAGTTTGCCATCAGTATGGACCTGAGAGGAGGATAATGAGGCAGGGGAGGAGGGATGGATGGATGGAGAGGAGGAGGAGGAAGCCCCACGAGGGTGTGCGGGGGAGGAAGATGGAGAGGTGGCAGACGTAGGGGGGGCCGTGTGGTCACCACGGAGGCGCAGTGTCTCCTGCCGTAGGGTCTCGTTCTCTGAGGCCAGTTCCTGCCGTTCCCGCCGAACACTGGTCAGCTCCTTGGTGAGGGTATCCAGCCGCTGTCTCAGCTGACGAACTTCGTCACGTGCACGGTTACGCTCCGCACGAACCTGGGAAAAATTCAGACTAAATTTATCAGCCCCAAGGCTATTGGTTTCTTGCTGATTTAAACTGTAAAAACAAGTCATGATACCGTTTCATTTTTCACTGCAGTTTTTAGCAAACACTACTCAAACAGGAGGAAATAGTCAATTTGTTGGGGACTATTTTCAGTGGTGGATTAATTCACATTTGGTGCTATGGTGCTATTTGTGGTAGCAGGACGGTGTATGTGTGACTGAGTCAAAAATAAGCTACACTGTGTTTACAGTATTTGTTATTAGGATAAATTCAGTATTTGTAATTTAATATTTTGTCATATTTGGTGAAACTTTCACTATATCCTGAAAGCATATAAGTAGTTTTTCCATTTTTATTCTACCATTGCTTCTCTGCTGTGATTGACCCCCCACTTTGATCAGCCCCCTACCCTTATTCTTTCATCCTGCCCGCTGTGAGCGTGCCCAGCCGATGCATCTGTCGACCACACACTTGACCTTTGTGTGGTGCATGTACAAAAGGGCGAGTGTTGCTCAGTGCTCACACAGAGACAGCATCATCATGGATAAACCTCCTGAATGTCAGACTGAGGACTGAAGAATCAACAAGGCCATACTTAAAGGTCCACTGTTTAACATTCAGGAGGCTCTATTGGCAGAAAAAAACTGTTCTGTGTTATACTTTGTTAAAGAAAATTATCAAATTGACAATGTGATACAAAATTATAACAAAGTAGTTTGAACAACTTTTTCTAAGTAGCTTTAGGTAACCAAACAAGATTTATTACCAGCATAGCTGCTGTACTAAAATTTCTAAGTAGCTGATGGTGAGATGGGGTTAAAAGCAGGCTACTGCTACTGCAATTTGGGTGCCCTATTTATGTTTTATTTATTTAAAAACCCTACACAGGTTGCAGTTTCTAGAGCAGCAACAGTTAAGTCTACAACTGCAAAGTGTACTCAATAATATCTCACTACAAACATCTAAGATGTCAGAAATAGAAGTCATATTTCTGACATCAAACAAACTGTCCTTCCTCCTGTCCTCTCAGATTCGTGGCAAACTAATATAACAGACTACAAATAGACAGATTTCTTTTAAGCTTGTTCCTGACTCACTATTGGATTAACAAGCATGATGTGGTTGTAACAACGTCAACTGTGGACAAGCACATGACGTGGAAATACCTACTTTTTCTACTAAAACAGCTAACAAATCAAATTATTATTTAAACAGAAAAGGTGAGTCATCATAAAATCTATACATATGTACACAGAAAGATGAAAATGAGTATGTATGATTAATTCAATTCAATTCAATTCAATTCAATTCAATTTTATTTGTATAGCGCCAATTCATAACAGAAGTTATCTCAGGACACTTTTCAAATAGAGCAGGTCTAGACCGAACTCTTTCTAACATTATTTACAGAGACCCAACAGTACCACCATGATTACTGGAGTGATTCACAGAGTTTCAGTATATATTCTCTCTTCTGGCTGCAGTAAGCAGAACCCCACCTTGCTCCACTTCTCTCTCCAGTTGGCGGTGCAGTCCGACCACCACCTCATAGTCTTCTCCATCTGGGCCGCTCTGGCCCGAGCCTCCTCCAGCTCCCTGAGCCTTAGCTCCTCCCTGCTCTCCCAGTCAGCCCCGGCTCCGTCGCCCATCGCCCCTAGGGATCCCAGTCCGAGGCCTCCCAGCCCTGGTGACAGCAGCAGCGGGGGGCTGGAGCTCGGGGTTCCTCCGGTGGGGCTGGGGGTGTGGGTGAGGCTGTCCGGGGAGCGGATCCCCCTGTCGGACCCCAGACCCAGGCTGCACAGCAGGCCACCTCCGGCCGACTTGCCGCCTTCGGACAGGTGGGGGCTAGGAGTGTGGTTCATGATGCAGGTAGGGATGTGGTTGAGGACAGTGAGGAGGATGGAGGGGGCAGGGGGGGGGTCGGGTCGGGGTCGTCAGTGGGGAGATTCAGGAGAGCTTCATCATCATCAGTCAGTCAGGGATCAGCCTGGAGACAGAAACACAGCAACAGGGAGAATGTAACTAGCTAGTGCATCTAAATCTGTTCCCCTCATGTGCATTGAAAAGAAATGGGCCCTACTGAGGACAAAACAATTCAAGGTTGATCAAAAGTGAAGAATCTAACTTTAGAACAGACACAGTCCAAGGAAATCACTGACAGGCACATTGCTGCCTTTGGGGAGGAAAAGCCCTCGTCTGCTTTTTGAACCATATAAATCCAAAGAGAGGCTGGACAGCTGGTTCACATGACTGAGACTGAAACTACTTCTACTGCTTAATGAGAAGCAGCTCGATGTAAAACTAAACCCAAATGAGCTCGAGAACACAGACAAGAATTGATCTGAAAGTAGGAAACTCACAAAGCCAAATGTTTTTGGAAAGTAGACATTTTCCCATGACATGTGTTCAGTGAATGGGTCACATCAACCTGGAGGCTTTCAGGGACCGGGGTTGAGGATATAGTGGCATCTAGCAGTGAAAGTGCAGACTGCAAGCAACTGAAACTGAATTTCTGACAACAGATCCTCCTAAATGTTACACACTGGACCTTTAAATGAACTACACTACATACTGGTCTGACATTCAGACCATAAAACCCTCATCCCTATCAATTCCTTGCCTATGTACCTTAAGAATTTCCCACTGTTCCTGAGCAAAACATTTATGCACAAAACATTAAATGTACAGTACGTAATTTCCTTTCTCTCACATAAAAACAAAAAAGGTAGTCTGATGATGTCATGAAGTAGCATGGGATCACGGGAATTGTTGTCTTCACCACCATTGCCTTCATTGCAGTCAGCTTCTCCCGGTTAGGATTCCTTCAGTGTTCATGGTTCAGGAGGTTTCTACCGGGAGCCCAATGATCCACAGAGGTCTCCTCCTCTCCAACACAAACAGACCCACTGATTAAAACCACTAAACACACTGAATAAAGCAGTTCCACCTTAAAAATCACTGCTTCTCCCACACTGTTGGACAGACAAAGGACGTCCCGGAGGGGCTGCGAGTCGAGCTGCTGCTAACGTTAGCTCAGCTTGTTTCTCTGACGTCCGATGACTAAAATCCTTCTTCCGGTTCAAATCTAGAGTTAAAAAGCACCAAGATCTAAACAGTGGATGGTAACAATGTGGCTTCAGACTGGATCAACAGTCAATGTATGACAGCTTCTGGCAGACAACCACAACGCTGACACAGGCACAAAGGGGATATGACGCCATCGACAGGCAACCGGTGAAACGCAGTGTTACCTGAATAAAATGACAGATTTCTCTGAGTTTGAATATTGTTGGAAACATTTGGGATAATGGAAGAACACAACTCAACTACATAGAACATAGCTCTAGAGTTTATACACTGCTTAATGAGGAAATGTTACAGATTATAGCCACAATTCATATGTACAAACTTATCTTTACTTTTATCTAACTATATTTTAACATTTTTCATTCACATATTTATTTTTAAGACTTTCTAGTCTTCCAATAATCATTTGAAGGTATAGTTTCTCTTTGTATTTTTTTTTTGCTGGATCATAATACAACACATTTGTGCTATATTTCCCCTCAGGGACCTGTGGACGAACTCTGATCTTATCTCTGCTGTCAGTGCCAGGTCTGGGTTGAGAAATCCTGGAGAAAAACACCACCTCTGGCTGTGGTGAAGTTGGCCTCCATTTCTCTGGGCCAAGAAAAGCTCTACTCCTTCCCTCCCTCCTCCCCCCGCTGCCTCCCCCTCTCTCCCCTCCAGAGGAAGTTCCATAGGAGAGCTGGAGCTGTGGGAACAACTCCAGAAGAAAAGGAAAGGAAATGAAGCGGGTTTAGCGTTAGCAGCTGGGGGCTTAGTGGAGGGAAAAACCACAAAAAATATGTTTAGCCTATTCCTGTTAGCTAATGCGACATCCACATAAACAAACAAACAAACAACATGGTGGACCTTTACTTAAGAGCATGTCCCAGTACCCACACTTAAGGTCTTGAGCAGAGAGGTGTGCATTCAGGCACCAGCAGAAAGCAGACAGGTGTATCTAAAACACACACAGTACACTTTTCCTAAATGTCCTAATAGTCAACACCCACCTGCTTTGAATGTTATCAGCCCATACAATATTCATTACCAGTTTAGTCATCAGGACCATAGATATAAGGAAGTATGGTCCTACTCTACCTCCTAATTGGTTCCAATATCATCTATTGGTAAGCTGGAGGTATGAAGGTGTGGTACCTGTGGGGGGCAATAATGATAATGAGAGTGGATGGATCAAACAAAGACAGGACTTACCCAGAAGGCCGCTGTTCGTGACCCTAACTTAAGTTACGTAAGGTATTTAAGTGAAGTAATGCAACTTACAATCTTTTCTGAAACCTAACCTAAGCAAGCTTTATTTTGAAAGTGTAACAGGAAGTTGCATATTTGTTATTGCTAACTTGACCAATGTGATAATTTATCAATGATAATAATGAAAGATATGTACCCTCCGGTCTACTGGTAGGCGCAGTTTGCCTGTCTAAAGCATTAGGATGGCAGTGATAACAATAGATAACAGCCTTTTGATGGGCTGATAATATTGGAAACAGGTGCCACATGAGTCAAGTTACTGACAGTAATGAGTCTACATACTGATTTTAGGGCAGTATCAACAGAGACAAAGAAGTTGATGACTTACTGGATTCAGTGTGAATAGTCTGTTATTACTGGTTATTGCCTAATATTGGCAATCCACTCTTCTTTCATTAGTCCTAAAGGTCCGGTGTGAAACATTTAGGAGGATCTATTGTCAGAAATGGAATATAATTTTCATAGGTATGTTTTCATAAGCTGTTTTTATCTACAGAGGGAGCAGGTCCTCTTCTACGGAGTCCGCCATGTTTAACCACCATGTTTCTACAGTAGCCCAGAACGGACAAACCAAACACTAGCTCTAGATAGGGCCTGTCACATTTCTTTTTTTTCCACAGCCGCTGCAGTTTCTCCTACACGCTTGGAAGGCAAAGGGTATTCAGTTGGTTGCAAACTGCAACTTCACCACTATATGCCACTGACTCCTATATTGCAAATCTGACTTTGTCGAACATAAATATCAAATATTATTTTATCAATAATTTTGAGATTCCTTAAAAATGGATCTGACAGAACTTTTATGTATGGTAGATCTAAATACTTCAGGATGATTCCGTTTTAATTGCTTTATTAATTACAGTATATCACAGCTCTCATCTCCTGAATGTGTGTCATATGATTTGAACTGTAATGCATCACCCAAAAAATGATGGAAACTGTAGTCCAAAATTCAGAACATGTTTATCTCAAATAGATTTAAGAAAAAGAAAAAAAGCTTTGTTTGTTTTACACTATCAATATCATTTTGAGAAACTGGTGGTATTTTTCAGAGGAGCAGACAATAAATGGCATGCCTGGTAAAACATGTAGCGACTATGCCAAAACCCTGTGAATAAAAAGAGTGAAAACCAAGCAAAAGAGCCAAGGGTTCAGGGGCTTAGGTGTAGTAAGTGGTGTATCTACTGAGGACTCTATCTCTGGTCTTTGCTAGTGTGAAGGGGGCTTATGAGAGCTATCTCTGGTCTTTGCTAGTGTGAAGGGGGCTTATGAGAGCTTCAGTGGGATGGTCCCAAATCAAAGTGTGGAAAGGAAAAATCAGTGGAGGATGGCGGGCATGAGGAGAGGCTAAATTCACCACTGCAGTAAAGAGAGAGAAAAATTAAAAACCGGTGTACTTGCCTTTCAACACAATCAGGCAGCAGCGTCACGACAGACTGTTTAACCTGAGTGGCTTTCTCATTTCTCTTATTTCTAAGCATGCTGACATTTGAACTGCTTTCATATCTTACTCTTCAACCGGTGTTTTATGTGCTCACACATCAACTGACAGCTCTGCTTTAAACACCTCTACTGCCACTAAAATGTTAAAACAAGTATAACTATTACTTGTGAAGGTGTACAGAGAGAGTGCACAGATTACAGACAGAGAGAGGCGGCTACATCAGGAAAATGCTGAATCTTGGACCCGATAACCGGTCTATACTTTCAGTGCTTCAAATCACACTTCTAAGCTTCATTAGAGCTTCAACTGCATAAACATTTCACAAATGATCACTTCAAAACATCTGAATTAGTTTACATTTTCTTCTAATCTTCAAAAAATGATCATATTGAAATTATTGCAAATGTTCAGCAGTAAACACATATATTTTGTGGTAGGGAAGTGTTTTCCTCCAAGCAGTGCTCGCTCAGAACACATCAGTTACCAAACTGATAGAACTCTAAATTCCATAAGAGGATATTTTAATGATTTTATTGAATATTATTACAATGTTCAAAACGAAATTCCCTAAAGAACAGGCCTTTATATCATATAAATAAGATGTGTACTGTCATATATTTTAATTGAAAAAAGATGATGTTAGCTTACTCACTAGATAGAGTGCACATGGTGGCACAGGTGGGGCATTCCAGTCATTCCCAATTCATGCCATTCCAACACTTTTTATTGACCCAAGTATGAAGAAATATTCAAAAACACTAGGGCAAAATAACATTGATACCACATGCAAGGAACTGCATATTTTTTTGCCCCAATCTGCACTGGATTAGCATTAAGTAGGCACGTCTGCAAAGGGCAGACTCGTGGGTACCCATAGAACCCATTTTCATTCAGATATCATTCATTTCATTTATGAGCTCAGTAAACAGTTTCCTGATGAGTTTAGGGTCTCTAGTTTCACATCTTCTTCCATACATTAAGATGTTCATTTAGTAAATTATGGTCCAATTTAGAGAAAAATAGACGATAAAGTAGGGTATGCTTTTGGGCGGGGCTACCTTGTGATTGACAGGTTATTCTCAGTGAGTCTGTCCAGTGCAGCGCACCAAATTCAGATCAAACTGTCAAACTAGGCAGTGTTGATCAAATATGAATCCAGATTCTTCTACTGCATTGCCTATTTCTTACTTAAAATTGTTTCAGAA